CAGGGTGGCTGTAGGTGAGAATTCCCATGTGTGTGGAGCAGGCAGAATATTGCTAAGCTGATTGCAAACAGAATTTTGAACAAGTTACAGTCCTCTCAGAAGAAAGGACATACTAAAACCACTGGTAAAGCTGGGGTTTTTTTACTTCTGTAGGATTAGAGGATTTATTGCTCCTTAGGGGGTGAGGAGACTGAACCTTGCTGGGCATGGCTCCTTTTCAACTCTAATCAAAAGACTTTTTCCATCTGAATTTGCAGGAGTTGAGCCTATTACCTCTGAGAAAACCGGATTGTTCTCTGGTCTACATGCAGACAGTACAAACTTTTTCTCCTTGTCGCTACCCAAGTATCCCTCATTTTAGTCCCAGCTACTGACTTGACATAAGTACTGGATTCCTGCTATCTGCAGAAATAGCAAGTCTATCCCTTATGGGTCAAAAAGTGACAAGGCAATTAATGAAACAGTTGATTAAGTTTTACAGGGCTCCCAAAGCCAAATTATTTCATACTGTATTCCACTCATACTGCAGGCAGCTTGGGCTAATTAGCAGGAATTTTGGTAGTCTGCTCACCTTTGTATTTTATAGATCCTACTAGGTAGGAGCATCCAGGCTATGATAATACTTTTTAAAACCCTCTTCAAATACAGTTTTGGCTGAAGAGCTGAACTTTAGGAATGGCTGCTCTTCTACCCTTACTGCAGGTTTGCAGCCAGACACTCACCTCTGTTGTGGAAGAGTTCATGGCTATAAATGATCTTGGGAAATATGAGAAGCAAGTAGGAGCACTGGTAATGACTAAAAAAAAAATCAGGAAGTTGCAAAAGTTTAAATTTGTCAAGCTGTGAAATGAATAGGATAAAAAGCCATCATTGATAGCCAGGGAAGCAAATGCTCATGAAAGTGGCAGAACAATCAGGTAAAGCAGCACCAGAACTGTCTCACTTAGCAGTCAGTGTTGGAGGGTGCTGCAGGAAAACCAGGACATGAGCTGTCAGAGAAGACAAGGTCCCACGAATTTTCCTGAGACGTATGGAGACAGCTTGAGGAGATGTGATCAATTTTGTTGTCATGGAGTCACCAGCTAATTTATAGCAAGTCAGAAAGGTAGAGTGTGAGGAAGGGCAATTTTTCCATGATTAGAGAAGTAGAGCACTTGTAAGCAAAGAAAAGGAAGCAATTTAAAATCATAGAGGGCACATTAGGACATGAAAAGGTAGAAGGACAGTTTAAATGCAAAATAGATTTAATTACCTTCCCCATAGCTGTTGAAAAGACCAAGCTCTAAGCACAACTGAAATCTTTGTAGAAAACTGAATCTCCTGAAAGCTGGGAACAACATCTGCCAGATCACGAATTACTAGAAAATAACTACTTTATGGGGTTTCAAGAATAACTAACAATCCTCTCATGCATAGACACCAGGATGGTCAGACTGTGAGATACTGGAACCTCCTCTGCTCTTCACAACACGGGAAAATAAAAACGTGTGGTTTTTCTCAGAAGGAGCAGAAATTCTGCCTCCTTTTCATGATGATGCTGTGGCATAAGACCAGTCATTGATCAAATGAGAGCTAACAAGACTCCTTTCAGGAGTTAAGCACACCTTAAAAAACAAACATTATCACCAACAGAGCTTGTACCAAGGATACACTCCAAAATGAACATCTTATTCTCTGATATCCTCCAGATTTTTTTTTAGCTGTCCCGTTCATCAGCTTTTCTCTGAGGAGCACTTCTTTAACTGTTTTGCTTGTGACAGAGAATTTCTTTGTGTTAAAGTCTTGTGGCCATCCAAACTTGCCAATAAGTAACCTAGACATTAAAACTACATCTAAAAAGAAGGATCAAGGTAAAACTGAAGCATTGCCTTCAGGCTTCCTTTGCCTCACTGCAGCTAAGAATAATGGATAAAGCTAAGAGGATACAAGCTCTTAATTGCAGAGGTTTAAAAGTCCTGTGATAGTTTAACAGAGAGAGGCAGTGGCAACTTTGTCTGTTCTCCTTCCTCTCACCAGTTTTTCATCATTGAAAGGAACATGTTCCTCTCTAGAGTGAGTGCTGCTTCTGCAGCTGCTGAGGGGTAATGTTACTTCCAGGGTGTCATCCTTCAGAGCTTAAGGCTGCTGCTCCATGTCCCACATCTGCCTGGCCTGTAAGTCTTGTCCTTCTCCCTGCCTGCCTGGGAGCTGCCTGCTCCTCGACTGCAGTGCAGCCCATGGCTCCAGGAAGGAGGTAGGAGTGAGGAGCAGCCATGCCTCCCATGGATTTTCAAATGCTCAGAGGGATTGGCAGCCCAATTTTATGTATTTATTTAGTGCAAATAAACACCTGACAGAAGCAAGTGGCCAGCAATGAGCTACAGCACCCCCATGCTCGCTCACATGGAACATGGCAGGGCTGGTGGATGCACAGAAGAAAGAAAGGGAGGAAGAGGAACTAAATTTCTTCCGTCAAACTAGGGAATTCAAGTGTTGTTAAAACACTTGAAATTAGCTGCCAATTCCAGCTGTTTGACTACAATATTTCTTTCCCTCTCAAATTCTGCCTCTCCTAGCCTCGCTCAGTCTAATTATTGCAGGTACAAGCAGGTGTGGAGTCAATTTCTCCATCCTCTTGTACCTTGCATTTGAGCTGGTGAACCGTGTTCCACCATTCTGTGGTGTTGGCTCATCATTTCTGACTGGTGTCCAGATGCAGAGTATTCCTGTCATCTCCCTTCTGGGAGTTTTGTCCAAGCATCCTGCAGCCTTGCTGGGTCAATTATAGCATTTATTTTTATGAATAGTAATGGTCTTCCATGGGACCAGGAGAGGGAACTGCTAAGATTCAAGCAAGAGCTGAAAGGCAGCTTTGTATCAGCAAGTCTGGTCACAGGATTGTCCCAGAGACTCCTGCAAGGTTCTGAAGAGGAGGAGATGCTGCTGGATGGAGAAAGTGTTCTCAGGTACCTCCAGCCCACAGGGAAAGACATGTGGATCCAGGAAACATCCAGCATAAAAATTCCATTCCAATTCAAAACCAGAATAGGTCTTCTAACTGATTTGTAATCAGTGTGATTCCTACAGTGATGACATCCTAGGGTTTTCACCCACACTTCCACCTCCTGAAATCCACTGGAACCAAAAGCTTGCAGTGGAAGTTAAAAGAGTTGTTTCGGTGTGTTTGCGTGACGATGGAGTCTAAAGAATTTCAGGGAACTGTGCCCCAGACTTCTCAATGCTCATTAGGTGGTGCTATGATATTAACTGGCAGGAAATCTCATGAAGTTGGTGGAGAAATTGGGTCTTGGTCGTAGGCCAGACTAAATTTAGGAAAAATTCTGAATGAAACAGACTGCTCCATTTATCAGGAGAACCACCAGAAGTTTAGCTTTTAATATACATTTCTCCTGACTGGCCTTCACAGCTGAACAGATATCTGTGGTAGAACACCACTTGATTTTCTTTTTATTTTTTTAAAATCACTACAGCCAAATAACTTTAGAAAAGGTATTGTTATTTTTTGGTGAGTGTTTATTTAACAACTCATTTCATGGTGGAAACCCTTTAATATCAAGGATTTCTAAGAGAACTGCCTCTTCCATCAGTCCAGTTTAGTCTCCAGAAAAGCTTTTCCTTTTGATGAAAATTATATTTTCTGGTTTTGATCTTGATCTGCTACTGGTCCCTGGCTAAAGTATTTTGAAACTTACCTGGGTTCAAAAGACTAATTTTTATCAAGACTTTTAAGACAAAGGGACTTTGAGGACATGAAGAAAATCACTTGCCTTCTTCTACTCCAATAAAAATCATGAGCTATTGTGTTTTATCTCTAAAACTTAGTACTAAAGAAAATAGAAATGGGTTTGGCATGAAATACTTGATTCTACTGGGCATGTATGTACCTATTTAGTCAGAGTGCGTTTGCATTTGTTATCTTCCCTTTCTCCTTACAAGTCTGTTACTCAATCCACAGGGCTAAAGAAAAATTTTACATCTGTTGTGAAATGAAAGCCAGCAGCCAAAACACTGTTTTGGCTCTTTTAGGACATTTTAAAGCCTCCCACCATCACCAGAAAGGGTAAAATGGATTTTGGATGATCCTCTGTTTCTTCTCTTGAATTTTTACATGAATAACAGCTACTCTGTCTTCATAGAAAAAAAAAAGAGAGAGAGAAAGAAAAGATGTTTTGTGTAAGACACACTGGAGATGATTCATTAGCTTTTATTTCAGCATGACTATTGTTGCATCTTGACCTATAGTGCCTATTTTAATTTGAATTCTCTTACCTGCGTGGAAGAAATCATCCCTTTGTCTTGTGTAAGATCTTAAAAAAGCAGGATATTCCAATGTCATGAAAATGCACTATTTTCAGTGATGACAGGGCAAATAATACCACCCCTACCTAATCCTTTTCTATACTTAGTAGGGTTTGCTGAGAGTTACAGCCTTTACTGGAGTAGCTCTGTTCTGGGCAGGAGAAGATGAAAGTGAGAAATTGTCTTGTAAAAACACATGTCCCCAAGAGAAAATTAAAGGCAAAAAGGATTTTCAAAGTGTAAACAGAAGTGTGAATCATTGCCAGTGGATGTTAAGCTTCATGACTGCTTTTTACTTAATTTGCATAGTTGCACTTTTAGGCTGACTTTAGTTGATGTACATCTTTCTAAACCCTGTATTTTCCTCCTGTGGATAAGGATTCATATCAAAGCATGACTGATCTAGAATTTAGTAAGGAAAAGTATTTAGCAGCAGTGATACAGCTGCCTTCCTCACTCCCTCTGTAGTAGTAATATTTGTGTTAATATATGTCTTTTTTTACACTGGTTTTATACAAGCTGGAGTTAAGTTCCTGCAGGATCAGTGAACTGACAACAGAAGGGCTGGAAACTTTATGGACACCAAGCAGTGAATGTTTGCCCAATGCTCTCAACAACAAATACCCTAAAAACCCATAAATTATGCATTTTCACTCAATGCTGTAGGAGAGAAAGTAGCTTTTTCAAACAGCTTTCCTTACCCAATGCTGAAAGCCCGGCAGGCTGCCCAGGGTTTAATAACTGACCCGGTCTCTCTCTTGTGTTGAATTGTGATATGCTGGACTCTCTACACTGCCCTTCTTTCTACTGCTGAACACCTTGATCTGCAGCCTGAAAAACAAAGAGGTAGAAGCAGCATTGTGAAAGACAGAAAAGAGAGAAATAGATTTTTTTTTTTTTTCAGTGAGACAATCAGAATCAATTTCTGTTTTCCCTGACATTTCACAAATTGCAAAACGGAGCCCTGATCTTCTTGCCTCCTGCTCAGAGCTCTGGGGATGCAGCAGAGAGAGACTCACATGATGCAGATGGGATGCTCTCATCACACACATTTTCAGTGTGTTTTTTTTTTTGTCTTACAAACACCTAGGAATAAAACCCCTCCTTATCACCACTGGTGGGAGGCACCCACACCCCCAGTAATCCATCAGTGCAAGGAGCGTGCTTGTGAGACACCGGCGGGGCTGGGAGTCACAGGGTGTGGACTGAGGCTGATGATTTTAACTCTGGATGTGTTGGAAATTCTGCCTGCCCTGTGGCTGGGAGATATCTCCTGCTGCTTGGGGCTGATCAAGTGAGTTACACAGCGGTGTGCATTGATAACAGCTGCACGTTGTCCTCCGTGTGCTGAGAGAAGCTCCTTTGCTACAGGAAGAAAAAAAATCCACTTCAGAAATAGTGGAAAGGTTTCTTAAGTGCTGAATCCCTGAGCCTGTAAAACCCAGGGCTTTGCTACAGGTTTTAATCAACTCAGTGTTTATTCAAAAAGAGGCATAAAGCCCTTAAAAATTAGCCTTATTTTTCACTAGGACTTGAGGTCAAGTCTCCATTAGCTCATACTTCTCAGCCAGAAATGTCTCAGCCAGAGTTTGCACATACATTCCTCCATCAGAACAGTACTAATCACACTCCTGCCATCTCAGGGTGCTGGAGTACCTCTGCACTTCCCAAGCATTTCTTTTTCTTTCTCTTCACATTCTCTAAGTCCACACACTACGGTGACTGCCACAGGAATACCTAGCAAATCTACCACCTTCCTTTCTGAACACTGTGGGTCTAGAACAGGCTGTAATGTAATACTTGGCAGACCCACACTCCCTGTAAAACAAAACTTTGTTTACTCTTATTTTTTCACTCTTATTTTGGCACTCTAGTGGAAAATCTTAAACGTGACCACTCAGGGCTAACAAAGCAGGAGGCAAGCAAAATAGCATTTCTTACCTGAAGAATTTTCGCACTTGACAACTTCTAAAATTTGGGGGCAAAATGCCTACTATGTTGGCCCTCAAATTATTTCCACATCTGCAAATCTGTAGTGTTTATTTCCACCATATATATATATATATATATCTTACATATATATATATCACTCCTCCTAGTATTGGTGACAGACAAAGGCCATTGCTGAGTTGCTAGGAATGCCTTGTGCCAAGGTGATCTGATTAAAGGTGAAAAAAAGCAAAAACTTGGGCTGTAAGGAGCCTCCTCCCCTTCTTAACACGTGCTGCAGAGTGATGCCACCTGCAGCAGGTCACAGATGTCATTGCAGATGGTGTGTCACCTTATGTAACCTGGCAGGGGCCATATGGTACTAGGACACCGTGTCTGGGTCAGGTTATACAATTGTGGAGGATGTGTTTGAGCCTGATGGCACAACCCAGCATCTGGGCTGGGGCCTCGGTCACCCTTCGTGCAATGTGAATGACAAGGACTCGGAGAAACTGGGAGCTCTGGCAGTCAATAGATTAAAATATGTAAGGTCTCCAATAAAAGCAACCTCAAGTAAGTAAGGATGAGAACAAGGCACAAAGAAAGGCAGTAAGAGGTGGTGGCAGCAGTGTGTTCAGGACAAGTGCAAGGAGGGAGGTGCTGATGCCTGCCGTTGGAAGGGAGGCTGTGGAGCTCCAGCTGCAGGCTCCTGTGGATGCTGCTGCTTCAGGCTGTGGCCAGGAGCACGATTCCTGAGCAGACTCCTCCTGTGTGCTATGAACTAAAACATTCTTAATGTACATAAAGTAAACAGGCTATTTCCAATACTGAATTATGTGGGGAGAGGGTGTGTGGGTGTGCGCTCATTTCTTACTAATGAAGCCTCCACCTTTTTCTAGCGGTCTCATTTCCAGTAAATCTGACTAAACTCCTTGGTTTCACTACCTTCTTGTCACGCTTTATAAAGCTGCTATCTTTATTTCAATTTTAAATGACTTCCAGTGGTCTCTCACACCAGAAAATACAGCGGAGATTACTGAAGGAATTAAGATCACAGCCACCAGAGTGTGTTTTGTTCTTGTGCTAAGGGGCTGGAAGTCAGTCTCTGTAGGGAACATCAGGGAAGCTATATGAAGAACAGCAGCTGCTGGACATGGACTACGTGAAGTGGGAACCTCTTGGATCATCTTGGATATTTGGCCAGCCTCACAATCTTTTTTTTTTTTTCTTTTTTTTTTCCTGCTCCTGTCCCCTTCACTTTTTATCATCTTATACTTGCTGCTCGCTGGCCTTTCGCTCCCCACCGTCCTCCACCCGCGGCCGCGCTCCCTCAGGTGCGCTGCGGGGCCGCCCTCCCCTTCCGCGACTCTCCCCGCGCTGCCGCCCGCAGCCATTTTCGCTCCTTCTCCCCTTCCCCAGCCCCTCTCACCCCTCACCGCCCTCCGCACCGGAGCCGCGGGCGGGACAGGACCTCCCCGCCGCCCTCATCCTCTCCTCCCGGAGGCAGCCCCGGCCGGGGTGCGGCTGTGGCGACTGTGACGGCTGTGGCGGCTGTGGCGGCGGGCGCTGCCATCTCGCGGCCGCGCGCAGTGAGCCGCCATGGCGGCGCGGGCGGGGCCGCGCGGCCTGAGGGCGCTGCTGGGGGCGGCCGTGGGGAGACGCCCGCGGTTTATAGTGGAAAAGCATTGCGAAACGCGGAACACATAATTTTTTTTTTTTTTTTACGAAGGGATGCTCGTTGATGTTTGATCTTTGCATACTTTCAAGCGTACTCAACAAGAAATGAGATTCAACCCGTGAAACAGAGCAGCGTTTTGATGAGCTGAGATGTAGGGGGAGGTTCCCGAAGCTCGGGAAGAAGGATGTGCCACTGATAGCAGAGAGTGCAGGATTTACAGGCCAAATGGACACTCGGCAGAACCCACAAGATAAGGAAGAAACCAATAAAGCCAACTCAGCAATTGTGCTGGAATCAGCTCAAACTGGGTAAAAGTTAATCCAAGCAGGGGCAGACTGTAACCGCTGACTGTGGGACCACCAACCCAAAAGAAGGGAAAGACTGAGCATATGGACTAATTAGCATTGGAAGTGAGAGAATCATTAACCAAAAGAAGACAATGCTAATTAATAACTATGTAGCTTGTAGCTAGTGAACACTAATTCCTTTGTTTGCTGATATGCATAAATACTGAAAAGTTTTGATAGTCTGGGTGCTTGGTTTGTGGAATACCTGGGAGCAGCCAGACTTATATAGCCCTGAGGTAAACACCGATATCTCTCAGTGTGTAATCATTGGTGTGTTGCACACCGGGTAGTGAACTTGATTTTTATGGATCACAAAGGGGTTTGTGAAACACTGGGCAGCCCTGGGGCTTTTTCCCCACAAAAATAAGAGGACAAAAGGAGAGTTACTCTGTCTTGAGTCCTTTGTCAGCACCCAAGGCTGACAAGGCAGAGCTGGAAGATCTGTCACTTTGGATTTCTCTGGGTGACTTTTTTTTGTCTTACAGAAATCCATGTTGACACATTCCAGAGTCCTCCTCAGCTTTTCCTGCGTCTGAAGGCAATTACTAAATGAGGATTTATGCACTGAAGGCATCACAGCAGGGTGATCTTACAGTGCAGGTGTTCCATTTTGTTGGGGATCTTAGCTGTACTTTATGTATCTTTTAAGGATGGAACATGGCATAGCCAGCATACCTGTATTTTATATCCCAGCCCAGACATTTGTAGGGTATTATCTTAACAGGGAAATGATGAACAGGAGCACAAGAATTTGGCCAAGTGCTAGAGCTTCAGGAAGAAATTCTTCCCTGTGAGCATGGGGACTACACTGGAACAGAGTCCCCAGAGATGCTGGGCCGATACCCCATCCCTGGAAGTGCTCAAGGCCAGGTTGGATGTGGTTTTGAAAACATATTCTAGTGGGAGGAGTCCCTGCCCATGGCAGGGGGGTTGGAACGAGATTATCTTTAAGTTCTCTTTCAACCCAATTCATTCAGTGATTCTATCAGCAGATTTCCAACCAGCCTTCTCTGCTGCTGTTCCATCACTTAGCTTCTCTCTCCTTCAAGATTTTAACATAACTTGTTCAGATGTTTATTGATTTAGAACTACATTATTTTGTCAGCCACTAGGAAAACAGAAGCTGTAAAGCCTTAGAAAACCCAGATGCACTTACCTCCTCTTAAATCTGAAATATATGTAAACTTAAATATATATTTACTTAAGACTACAATTCATGCAGTAAAAATTGGCTTCCCAGTTTGAAATGAGCACCTGCTCTGTGATGTTAACATATGTTTTTCTGGAAGATATCAATGGGAAAGAAAAGCCTGGAAAACAGCCACTGAGAGCTGTGCCTGATAGCTTTTGAAGCTGTTTTGCAACCTGTAGAGATCAGACTTTAATCAATAAATCTGTCTCTATTTTCACTGTAAGGTGAAGAATGTTTGTAGTGCCAAAGCTGAAAGGCACATTTTTTTCCCCCACTATTCAACAAGTTTTTTCCTCCTCATGTTAATTGGTGACAGAAAAGGAGCTTTGTAGAAATGCAGTACATTTCATAAATTAGTTCCCATCAGAGATATGTTGCTGATTCCTGGACAGCAAACAGAAAATGCTGGAGAAAATTGTTAATACACAACAGCTTGGCAGCAAGAAAAGAATAAACACACTTTCTGAATTACTTTGTTTCGGTCTGTGGGGGAGAAATGAGCCAAAAGAACTTCAGGTAGCTGTTAGGATTCACCTGGTAAGCACTGATGAGAGACTGTGCTGTTGTCCAGACTGCCAAGGAAATCAGGGGGAAAAAATAATCTCATGCAGCGTACATTGCTTTTGGGATTGAAGCACAGTGTTGAGGCCATACATATGGCAAAGTAGCCTTCTTCTTGGGGATACACTGTGCTGCTGCAAACACTTGCTTTCTGAGAATTGCTCAGGCTTAAGGGTCAGCCTCTTGATCCTCTCCGACTTGGGAAAGAGGCTAAATGATTTTTTTTTTTTTAATCCTACAGAAATAAAGAAACAAACTCCCAGAAACTGCTCCTGGAAAAAAATACATGCAGGAGTAGGGTAGTTGTATCCCATGCTTTTGGTCAGCATGAGGTGGCAGAAAGGTAAAGTTTTCTGCCACTGAGGCTGTGAGAAGTGTAAATCTGGGAAAAATGTGGCTACTTGTTTTGTCAGAGGTCACCCTCAATATGCAGATGTTCCTTAACCAGAGGCAGCAAAACTGATTGTTCTACTTTCAAGGTTGTTGCTGTAGAAGCTAAGTAAAGGGATTTAGGGATGAAATTAATTCAGTGATTGTTCTGTCCAGGGCAGAATGATGAAAGGGAAAGAATCCCTTATTTAAAGACTCTGGAAATGGGGAATGCAAACAGTTAGGGGAAGTGTGTGGTTTTCCTTTGTTTTTCTTGTTACTCTTTCAAACCAAATGTCTGATTGTACAAAAAAAAGTGTGTGGCCAACACAGCTCCAGAGTAAAGAGAAACCTGAGTTCTGTAAATTGAAGGAAAAGCAGAAAAGACCCCTGTGCCAAACAGAGTGACCTGTTCAAGCCTGGTATTTAGAGGCTGTTTTATATGGGAAAATGTATACCTGCCTTTGGTGGATTACGGTCTTGTGAGGATCCCACACTACAGTTTTAAAGTACTCCTTTGGATGAATAGGCAGTGGACAGAGACAATAAGAAACTGGATAAGTGTCAGGAATGGAATTTGATCTCCAGTCTTTGGCCATTTTAGTGGAAACTCCAGCTCTGCTCTCACAGCTGCAGATTTTGTACAGGTCCCATGCCCTATTTGTGACTAGATTCTTGGACACCCAGAGAGACCTCACATCACATGACAGCTGTGTTCAGGAAGTTGTTTAGATGACCTTTACTTTTTAATGAACTGCCCTTTACCTTAGTGAAAAATAATTCTGGTTGTTCTGTAATGAGAAGAAAAGGCACTTGCTCTGTTCCAAGATCTGTAAACTAGAATCATAATTCCCAGTCTCTGCTTTCCTCCCACTTCATCCTGTTGGGAAATGTGAATGGATATCTTAATTCCTGAAACACGGTTTGTCATTTCTGTTAATATCAGCAGGACAAACTGTCCTTAATTCTAACATTAATTTTGTAAGTTATCATGATATAAATGATGAGTGTTCTGCACTGAGTCTGTTACCATAGAAAATCAAAATGCTGCCTATTCCTGTGCTGCTGTATTGCATTCACACTCTCAGTCATGGATGTGGTTAATCTGCTTTCTGTGATTTGCTGGTTGTTTCTAAGAAGTGAGTGCATCTTAGGAGACTTATTAATGTTTTCTTCCCTGTGTTTCATTCTCTTATTAGGAGAGTAAAAAAATACTTTCCATGTCAACCTACACTCCCCATTCCACATTGCATTTCTTCTCACTGCAGCTAATTTACAGATTGAAAAGTTCTAGTGTGCTGTGGTCTTTCATCTCCATATGTTTAAAATGGCCTCTAGGTGAGATCAGATTTTCTGCAAAATTCGAGCCTCTGAAGCATTTCTTCATGCCTGGTATTCTTCTGTTCTTGTTTTTACAACAGCAGTAGCTGTTGTCAATCTGCTTTGCTCTGTGATCTGTGGTGGAGAGGGGTCTGTAGCTCCAGATTGCAGTTACCAGAAGGAATGTTTTATTTTGCTGACTAAAAGAAGGCATCTCATTTTCTGAAACCAGGTGGTGTGTTCACCTTTGCTTCATTCCCTTTTTTGCTTGTTTGCAAACTGTTTGATGAGCTGATACACTGTTACCATGTGCCAGGTTTTGTCCCAGGAAGATAAGCATGGTAAACTTTTAATAGTTTATAGATTATTTTAAATAAATAATTTTACTAATAGCAAAGAGACAGTGCTCCGTGTCTAAAGAAAAAAACTGATCAGCAACTTGCCCAATATAAGCGGAGTGTATTATCTTGTTTTTATTCTTCTCCAAAGAGGGATCTTTTTGGAATTTATTACTGACAAATACTTAGGAGATTAACATGTTTTCTTAATGGTAATTTATAGTGGTGGTATAATCTGCTGTATATAATACTCCCTTCCCCAGAGGAAATGAAAACAGGTCCAGCATGAAGAAATCCTGTTGCTGTGGGTTTGCCCTCACTGATATTTATGCCTATCAGTGGAAGTGTTTCTGATTCCCCTCTGCAGGAGGGGCACACCTCCATGTGTCTGGGCTAGACTGTTCCTGGAGAACAGAGAAGTAGTGCTTAGATTTTCAGTGTGCTTAGGCAAGGCCTCCCAAGGTATATTTATGACATTAGATGGGTGACGGTGGTGGAATGTCAATGCATGCAGCCATTTCTCATTTTATTTATGTAGTTAGTTAGTTAGTTGAATTTAAACTGATTTTAGTAGGGATAGTCAAAGGAGCATTCAGCATGTTTTGGAAATCCCCCATGGAGCAGTCTTTTCAGCAGCACAGCTTCATGGTAAAGTTGCTGCTTCAGCCAGGAGTAATAAAGCAGCAGGGTGCTGACAGCTCGATGAAAACAGCTCTAATTTCCTGTGTCTCTGTTAAAGACTCCCCTCTCCTGGGGGCAGGGACATCCATGTGCAGCTTGGCCAGGGACAAGCCAGTCATTCTGCAAAGCCAGATCTCTGGAGCAGCGCTTCTGAGCTCCCTTTTCCAGCTGGAAAATAAAGCAACAAAGCAATTTTTACTTATTTATTTCTAATGGACTCCTTTGAGTTCCTTGAGGTCAGCACACCAAATCATCACATTTCTACATTAGCATGACATGATGGAACCACCATCCCCAACAGAGCTCTTGGGGGATAAACCTCAACCCCCAGATCATCCCCTCTCTCCCCATTCTGTGTCTCCTGCTTAGTGGGGATAACAGCCAGTGGTTTCATCTAGGGATTATATTAGCATCCAAAACACAGCTTTCTCCACAGTATCTGGAAAAAAAATGGGAACTAGAATTAGCAGGGAAGACAGCGTATAAATGTTTTTATAGCTGAGGAAAATGGTTGGAAATTAGTTAACTGATGGATATGCAGGTAGCCAGACATGCAGGAATGTCATATTTATCACACAGCCTTCAGTGTAATTTGCTTTTTATTTCATTTGCTGCTACTCTTTGGCCTGTGCTTGGGTGGGGAAAGGAGAGGATCCAAAGGCTCTTGAATTTTTTCTTACATGTAATTTAATTAGTGGGCTAATACTTGGATATATGTAGTCTGGGTAACAGTAAGGAACTTGACCAGACTGGCTCAGGAACTTGTATTTATCTCCACCCGGAATAAATTCTCATTAGAGTTATTGTTTAATTTGCCTTTTCCCACCCAAATGATAGTGCACATTAATGGAACCTGCTACAGGTTATATTAAGTGCAGCTCATGTTTACCATGTCTGGAAACTCCACCCTGGGAATACACCAGAAGCACTCTCTGACTGTCCCTGGGCCAGGCTGCAAATGGTCCTGCCTAAATTTGCTGAAGAGGAAAGGATTAAGCTATAAACCATGTGAATGAGGTGGATAGTAGGGTTGGGAGCTTTTGATCTCAGACCAAATTCAATCTAACAGTGGGAATTAGCTGCCCATTGGTAACTTCCACCTGGAAATCACCCACACCTGAGAATTATTTCTTGGCCCAGGTGAAGTCAGTTGGACATCTCAGGGAGCTTCTGAGGAGGCAGATGCCCTCATGACAGGATTATTGTCCCAGGGTGTGTGGGCGCTCATAGTCTCAGCAGACACGGTGTTGGGCTTGGTTTTATTCCTGGGTTTGTTTTACTTAGGAAGATGCCTCTTATTAGGAGACCCAAATTACTCCTCCATCTGTTAGATAGGGTGAAGTATTTCCAGTTCCTAAACTTTCAGTCTCAAATATCTGATTTTTAGAGAAAGAAAAAGAAATGTATGCCATCGCTTCTAGTAACAACTGAACTTGCTGATGGCTTGAAGAGGATAAATTTGACCGTGTTAGCTAAGAAGATGTGTCCCCAGTATTGTCCAGTTTTAAGCCCCTAAGAAATATTACCATCATTTCTAGCTGCCATGTACAAGTTATTGCTTAAGCAACATTTTGTTAATAAAATGTTCTGCAATTCAACCTTCTGTTGAACAGGTAGGGCAGGCTAAATGAAATAAAGATAGAATTAGGGTTGGTGGAAAGATACTGGATCTTAGACATGCACATACCTTGTAAATTTAGGGTGAATTAAATAGCTGCAGAGCTTAGTAAAAAGAAGAAGAAAAAGGAGGGGGGAAATTATATTTTCTGGTATTGGGGAATACCAAAGCAGGAGTTCAGTTTTAGTTTGGGCTTGTACTGTGATATTATTCTGTTCAGAAGGAAGTGTGTGTGTACAGATAAAATGCTGGCAGCTGACAGAGCCAGAATTGATGTTAATGGCTGGGAAGACAGGGCAATGTAGCCAGTTAACAAAAGAGCTTGATCTGTGCAGAAGATGATTTTGAACAGATACACACGTATATAGAAAGCAAGATTAATTTAGAGACCTTTGTCATTAAAGCAGATTTTTGTATGGTTTTGTGTGGGATTTAAGGGGGATTAAATGTTTGACATCACTTTGCCTGCACAGGCTATGTTGAAGAGGTTACTGAGCGGGTGATGGAGAATTTAAAAACGCGCCTTTGCTGAAAGAGAGGCAGCAATGGATCAGAGGAAAGCAGCCTGGCCAGGCAAACTGCCCTACCTACCACAGTGCTGAAAACAAGGTGCTTCTGGTTGGACAGCAGATGCTGCAGGGATGTAGAGCTGAAGGAATACTGATGATTTGCCAAAATACAAGGGGAACTCGGTGAGGACATCAGAACTGGGATGCCCCTGTCTTCTCTCTTCAGGGATGCCTTGCTTCACATGCATCTTTTGTCTGCTATGCCGTTTCTAAAGGTTAAAAACACTAACAAATAAGAAGTCAGCAAGGTGGATTGGATGATCAGGCACATTCCTCTTTTGGAAGAGATGGTCCTGGTCATGAAACTTCTGTTCCTCACCTGCCTATGGCCAACAGCAGTGCTACACAGTTCTCACAGTCAGCATCACCGTCTTCATCGTCGGCAACCAGTGTCATTCTCAAGAAAACATAACAGGTAAGAAATAGACTTTATCTGTTTCTTTCATCTGGTAAACTTCATGCTGTCAGCCACCTTTCAGCATATCCCTTTGGTTTACTGTCCTGTTTTTCCAGTTTCTAGGTTTATAGTTTGCATACTATTGGTAGGATGTTCCCAAAACAGAAATGGTGAAGTATTAAGTAATTTTTCATAACCATACCTTTCACATTGTGATTTTATGAATGTCTGATAAATATGGAGTTATGTACCCACCCACACCTACACACAGCTCTTTTACCTGGTGTGATGTAAGGCTGCCAGATTATTTCTGTGATGTTCCAGATGTTTGCCCTCTAACTCCCATCACAATAAGGAGAAATGCCTTCCAAAGTTCTATGCCAATGTTACAAAGTGACTTCCATTACCTAAAGATCAGAGTAGCTACACTATAAAGCTACAGAATACTTTTTAATGGCACTAAATGATGTGAATGACATCTTATTTGTAGTGATGACACACCATGTTCCCTTTCTGGAATATATTTAATGCTTTTAGACATTGGAAATTGTCTTTGTTCTTGGTCTTTCAATCAAGTAGCTGGTTGAAAATGAATAACGATTGAGAGGATTTTACCTGTATATTTCTGGGCAAAGTGTCAGTGCTTTCCCCCAGGAAGGCAGCTCACATCTGCCAAGTGATTTTCTCAACCTGTTGCTAGATTAATCTAATACTATGTGAACAGACTAATGGCTGCCAGTGATAATCCAAGAAGAATTCCTCTTCCTTGGGGGTAACTAGCTCCATTTAAGGAAGGAGAAGGGATACATACAAGTGTTAGATTTTAAAATGTGCTTGACCCCCTACTAAAATGAGCAGGGGAGCTCATAGTTTATTTGTACAATATCACATTTTGAAGAAAAGTGGACTCCTCTGATGTGTTTAAGCTGCCTTTTTTCCCCTTAAGTTGCATGCTTTGCAGCAGGTGTACATCTGTTAACCTCCTGTATCACTCCTCATGCAATCATCCAGCAGTCAAATATCTCTGGAACCCCCCAAGTCTTGATGAAATCCTGTTTAGCAATGCAGGGTAACAGATGGCACAACAGAGGTGCTGTGTCACTCTGGATTTCTGTTCAAAGTTATGGGTCCAAGTTTGGTGCAAACCAAAAGCTCATGAAAAGAATGGCTATTCAGAAGGCTGTTTCAAAAATCTGAATGTTGGTGCACATTTATTTGTAATAACAAAGGAAAATAAACAGAATCAATGTAAGATTGATTATCAACAGATTTCATCTGGTGCTTTGCCAGTGTCAGGAAGCAGTTAAGAATCATATGGAAACGGAGTAAAATACCTTGTTAGTGGTAGTAGCAAGGAAGGTCTCTTAAGCTCAGCTGCTACACTTTTGTCTGTGGTAAGAGGGGAGCATATGCTGCTGTTGTTCGCATTTTATCCTGTTCTGCCTTAGCTGAGAGCAGTTGCTCCATCACTGACATAAAAAAATCACAAAGCAGGAGGGAAACCTGGTGGTAGGAGACAGGAGATTTTGTGGCATCCTGATGACAATCCTCTTGCAACACCAGTGTTAGCACAGTGTCCTTTGTATTGTCACGGATCTTTACTGGTACATGAAAATGGATCCATGTGACAATCCTGTGAGACAGGCATAAGTGTGTTATCAGAAAGAGAGAATAGAAACAAGGAGGAATCCATGTGCTGCTGCCTGGTGTGGCAGTTTTCTTTGTACAAGAAAGTTTTCTTTGTACAAGAAAGTTTTCTTTGTACAAGGCAAGTTTTGGCATCCCACATCTTCATTTCCAAGGTCCTGGTGATTTTGAGCTGGGAAGAAGACTGCAAAATCCGAGCCACAGAGGATCCCAAAGCTTAACAGCAGCAAATCAGCTTTTCTCTGCAAAGGATCCAAGTGTGTTTAATTTCTCTTTGTTTCATTCTCTGCTTTTGTTCTAAAGGCTGCATTATCCTCCAGTACATTGCATCAGGATCTGACTTTCCACGAGCATCTTTTTCTTTCTGGGGAGCAATCTTTCAGCCAGCACTAGTTATTAGGGACACAGCTGACAGATGGCCTTGGTTAAATGGGTGGCCTTTTAAAAAGAATCCCATGTGAAAATGTTACTTAACCTACAAGTTCCACTGTTTTAATAGAATAACCCACTTCTCCCTCCAAAGCTGTTTGTCTGCATTCTCCTGTAAAGAAGATTTTAAAGCATTAACCAAAAGTACACGAGAAAGCGATTATTCTCATGGTCCATTTCCTACAGCAAAGAACAAAACATTTGATGGCCAAAATATTAGGGTTTTTCTTAGTACATACTGCTGATGTTACTGAACAATTAGAAATGCATTTTCATGTGTATGAGAGAGAACTGTGGAATTTTATGATTTAATTTATCTGGGCTTCAAGGCTTCATGAATGTATTTAAACATTTAAGAGGTCATACTGCTGGATTGCCCCACAGACTCCCCTTGGACTAAGATTTCTGTAAATTCTACATTTTGGATACTTTTGATTTAATGGTAGCCAGAGTATCTTGGGGAGACAACACTGGAAATAAACTTATGGCCATGAAATCCAGCATATTCTTTTCACAAAAGGCACCTTAATAGTATTCTTCTCATAAACTTGGCTAGTTTAATTCTGAATATGAAAGGATGGTAGGGGAAAAAACCCCTTTCTCTACTTTCTTACAATAACTTTTACCATATTGTTAGCAGAGCTCTAAAAAAAACGAACAGCCAAGCAGGATCTTCCCAGGATCCCTGTGCTATACTGAGTTTATAACAAGGGCTTGCAAGCACAAAGCATGAATAAGGACAGGGTAAATAAGATATTTTCCCCTAATATTGACAGCTGTACCAAGTCACCAGATTTCCTCCAGCGACATCCTGTGAAGGATGTAATTTCTGCAGACACAGTGATCTTCAGTGGATTTTTTTCCATTAACTTGTCCAATTCCTCCTTGAACCAGCATAAACTTTTGATAGCCTGGTAAGTTAAAGACAACCAGATGGGATATGAACCACTCATGCTATTGGTTTATGGAGCTACACTGATGGCATTAAGTGATTAAATGCTTTAACCAAAAATTATTTAAGTACCCTTGAGCAGACCTTTGACCTTTCATTCGCTAATGGTTTTCAAGGCTAGGTAGGAGCAGCTAAATTTGTCTTTAAAAGCCTGACACATCTTTGTCCATTGTTAATTAATTCTGAATTAGCTGCTTTGTTTTTGTAGGCAGTGACTGACTACTCTTTGAGATCTCTGAAAAATACCAAGGCCCATGCAAGAGTATTGGTGGGAAAGTCAAAACAGTATTCCTCACTCTTTTTCAGCCAAAAAGTTAGTGCTCCCAATTATTTAATATAGAAGTACGAATGAGAGTGAATTCCCCATGTGATCTGAAACAGTTCAAGTGCTTTTTACGACCTCTTTTGGAATGTAATTATAGATTACCATTTAATTTACATAATATAAATCCTTGCCTGAAATACAGCTGTGGGGAGCACAGCTATGAGTGGAAACAGTAGATTCTTGAGCATGTGCCTCACTGAGAACAATAACTTTTTATCTTTGCTCAGATCTACATCAATAGCAGGGTTCTCTTTGTTACTACTACCACAGCTAGGTAAAGACAGACTTCCTGTCTTTAGGTGCATCTGTTTTCTAATGGTTTCACAAAAATTTCTTCACCAAAGGAACATCAAGTCCTGGAACAGGTGTCCATGGAAGGGATTGGTTCACCCACCATTCCTAGAGGTGTTTAAGAGATGTTGGCATGTAGACTTAGGGACATGGTTTAGCACTGAACTTGGCAGGGCTGAGTTAATGGCTGGACTCAATGATCTCAAAGGTCTTTTCCAACCTAAATGGTTCTGGGATTCTGTGTGGGCTTTTCCTCTCAAACACAGGGTGACATCTGCCATACCATGAATGTGCAGAATCCATGGCTCCATTCAGATCACTAGACCATGGTGTGCTGCTGAAAGCTGCACAATCAATAGGCCACTGAAATATACTGGTTTTTTTTGCTGTGCTTCTGTTGAAGCCTTTTTCTGGTCTTAGAAAACTGACAGTCAGACATAGTTAAGGGATAAGGGATTTTTACCTCAGTGTTTTAATAAGGATCCCTATGGTGCACCATTTCACCGAGGCAGGATGTGCTGCAATGCACACACACGACAGCGCACATCTACAATTTACAGACCTTACAAATTAGCATATCTAACAAGGATGCCCCAATGGGAGGCCTGGATAAATGGTGTGATATCCCCCCATCTGAGGAATTCCCCCCTGGATGGGCCAAATCTCCAGTTTACAGGACATGTTCTAGAGGCAGCCTTGGTCTGTCAGGATAGCATTGGGCTTTCCGACCTCCTTCTACGAGGCCTTTAGGATGTTTGGTCTCCTGGCCTAACAAAATACTAGGGCTATGCTGAGTTATCAGACTCAAGGAATTACAAGCATGCATGCTAAGAATACTGAGGACATATAAAAGGTATATAAGAGAAAAGGCAAAAATCATCTTGGCATCATTTTTTCATTTTAGAGACTAACAAGGCTCTACTTTGTCTAGTCTCTATATTACCCACAATACTGGTTTACACAACCGGCTGACCCAAAGGCTACTACACAGATGATAACTATAATTACAGCTGTTATAAATGTTTATTTTATCCAGGCCCAGTTTGGTAACCATGACGTGAGGGTGTGGACGATATGGCCAAATTTCAAGGTGTCGTTTCTGGAAGTTACTTCATGTAAAATTGGTTCCCCTTCCAAATTTCATCCACATCCTTCTTAATTTTCTCTTTGGTCTACATAAGAGCAAATAAGAAGTTGAGAGCTGTCCTGTCACTGTACGTGACAGACTGTCAGCTTCCTCCGGTAAGGCTGAAATTGCATCTGCAGCATGTATGCTGCTCAATACGTTCAACGACAGCTGAGATGTTTGCAATCCCTCTCTGCAGTTCAACCACTCAGTAAGAGGGAAGGAGAGCTCTGACTATGTTATGGAAAAGTGTGGGATGTTCAGTAAGAGGATTAAGAAATCTTTTCTTCCTTCCATTTGTTTTTTCAAGATGATCAAATATTGTTGTATTTGGGACCACGGACCCAAGGGCACAAGCTTGATCTTTATTCACAGGCAGGATTTTCCAGGCCTTATCATCACATATCCAATAAAACCCTGTCTCAAATGGTAGAGCCACTCTGCACCCTGTCAATTTCATCTATGCCACAACTTTTGGGCTGATTATTTCTCTGAAATTGGTTTTATGACAATGTGAAGGAAGAATGGCCTTTCCTGTGGTGTTTTCAACAGCACAGGGAACTGTATAATTCCCATGTTCTATCAGGCTGCTCAGGGGTATAGGGGGCAGAAGGATACTATGAATTGGTTCTAACCTTTTAGTATGTTTCTCTTCCATTAAAATGCCAATCAATGGCCAGTGACCACCCCCATCTAGAGATGGTAACAGATCCAGCAATTGTTCTTATTAAGAACTTTGGATTCATTTTGGACTGCAGTCTTGTGCAAATCACAGAGCGAACCCTGAATCTTGGTTACTAGTTGGGCAGAAAACAGACATGTAAAAAACAGTTTAAACCCCCTCCTCCTGATTTGTACCAGTCTCTGTCTTCTTAATGGTTTTGGGAGCAGAAGCTTTCTTCACTCTGGAGTAGTGGGTCCACAGTTCTTTGCTAGCAACCTTGACCACAGTGAGGGTGGTCAGTAAATCTTGGAATGGTCCCTTTCACTTGGCTTGCAAGGGGTCACTATCTCACCACTTGGTATAGACCCAATCTCCAGGGTGGATGGATGAGCGGGTGTGATCAATCCTATTGGCTTGGATAACATGACGAATCTCTGGAGCTTCTGCAAAATGGAGCTCAGAGCCATGAAGTACTTCTGCAAACCAGTTTAACTTTCCCCCCAGGACATATGGAACCTGATATGGCCTGCCATATAATATCTCATAGGGACTTGTGTGTCCCTCTGCCTTGGCTGTATGCAGACTCTCAGCAAGGTTGTAGGCAAGGCTTGAACCCTTGTCATGGATGTCTCTTGACAAGTCTTACAAATCTGGGGTTTGGGGGTTCCATTCATACATTCAATTTTGCTACCTGCTGGGGACCTTGTAAGGTCCCACGTAAGTCACAGAATCCTACTAGCTTCCCCAACTACCATGTGGTCTTTTATCTGATGACATTCCCAAAGGAACCCCAAACTTTGGAATTACACAATTGAGCAAAGATTTCACTACTTCCATGCTGGTTTGGTGCAACAGGGATAAGCTTAAGGCCATCCACTGAAAGCATCCACCAGTACCAGTGTATATTTGCATCCCTCCTTGCGTGGCATCTCAGCAAATTTTATTTGCCAGTAACTTCCCAGGTGAGTTCCTGTCTTCGTTACCCCTAACAGAACTATTTTGCTTGTGTTGGGGTTGTTTTTACAACAGGTTTTCACACTTGCTTGGTATAGATTGTACAATATCAATCATTTTTCTCCCTATTACTACTTTCTTCAGATGTTTTAAAAGATTTTCTGCTCCCCAGTGGGTACTCTCATGCTCCTGCTGAGCTATTTCTCAAAGGAGCAGGGGTGGAACTACAACCTGTCCTGCCAGGGTAACAGCCCACCCACTTTATTTGATCTCAGCCTTAAGAAACGTAATTAATTTGTGATCCCTCTGATCATATTTTGGGGTAAACTCTGACAAATCTATTTCTTTCTGTGGTAAGAATGCCCTTTTCTGTAACCTCTCTTGCTGCTTTATCAGCAAAGTGATTTCCCAGTTCAGGGGCTGTTTTCCCTTTTTGATGACCTCTGCAATGCATGATAGCTATTTCCATAGGCTTCCAAATACTTTGCAGGAGTGTAAGAATCTGTTCAGTATGCTTAAGCTCATTACCTTTAGCAGTTAGCAGGCCATGTTCCTTCCAAATAGCTTTGTGGTTTAAAATCTCATAGATATCTTCCCAGTGGTTTATTAAGTAGAGAATTCCTGCCCTGGTAGCTTATGTTTTGCCTCTCTTGTCCAGGGAAATTCTTCCTCAGGTACAGACTTGGTTCTAGCAAGAAGTTGTAATAGATTAATCATTTCCAGCCTGCTTCTTCCAGTGAAATCCCCGGAGCATCAAACAGGCATTTTCCTAGGCACATCAAATGACAAATAACCTTGTGCTTCCCAACTGTATTAGCTGTGCCATGGCATTCTGAACATAATTCATCATTTTCTCCTCTCCAGGATCCCAAGCAGCAGAATTTCCTCATGTAGAACATTGCAGCTGTTCAGTTTTGCTGCCCATTCTACCCTGATGCAGGCTTGATCTGTGGTGATTTTAATTCTCTGAAGCGTGGGTTTTTATTTCACTATACACATGATTTTCATACTCAGAAAACAAAAGTCTGTATTTGAAATGCCTCATGGACCTTCTGATTACCCTGTTAATTTGATTCAGACAGCACTGCCTGAGACATTCAAGAATACTAAGGTAAATGAATTTGTTCAAGCCCAACAGTTCTGGGTAGCCCAGCAGTCACCTCATCATTCCTGTAATGTAAAAGTAATATCTTGGGCTTCTTGATTAAGAAAAAACTGAGAGGGAGGACAAAAATAAGTAAATAGAGGCATACACCTTATCCTAAGGTATTCCATACCTTGCCTTAAGCAGTGTTTGACTACAATCTTCAGAACACATTTCTATCGTCCAGTCAAAAGTAATAATTAGAGTTGCTTGCAGCACAGTCCCAGAGAATCACAGAAGGCATGAAAGAAATTGTGTCTAGGGGGAGTCCCTTGCCTGTGGCAAAGCAGCTGTATTCAAGTCATTCCTGCAAATAAGTGTCTGACCTATTCTAAAATAGCCTGAGTGAAAGGAGTCTCCAAAGCTGCCCAAGCAATATGTTCCAATGTTTCACTGTTCTCACCATGAGAACACTTCTGTGAGAAACGTGTTCCTAATGTGTACAGTAGAACAGAAAATCATGAGATCATTTCATTCCAACCCCCCTGTCATGGGCAGGGACACTTTCCACTAGACCAGGTTTCTCAAAACCCCATCCAGCTTGGCCTTGAACACTTTCAGGGATGGGCATCCACAGCTTCTCTGGGCAGCCTGTGCCAGGGCCTCACCACCTCACCACCCTCATAGAAAAGAATTTCTTCCTGACAGCCAATCTAAACCTACTCTCTTTCCACTTAAAGCCAGTCCCCCTGCAAGTCCCTAGATCCAGGATCATCCTTTCTCAGTCCTTCTAAAAAAATTGTTGACTCATTTGAGCTCCTAGGAAAACAGCCACATTTATAATAAAAGGAATAATTGTCTCTGTAGTTTGGATAATGTATGAAGTGGTTAAACCATGGATATATGGTATTAGTTCCAAGATTGATTTGCAAGTGTTTATGTGAATAATAACTTCAAACAGCTCTATTCTCTTGTATTATGATAACTACAATCTCTGAAGAAAAGAGAAAAGGATCTAGTAGTTCTTCCTGGGACTTCTTATAAATAATTGGTGTTCTTCATGAACCTGAGCAGCCTCATACCTCATTTCTCAACCTTTCCCAGTACATCTTTCTCCAGCTTTATTAGCACAGTTGTTACCCTTAACATTCCAGATTCAGCTGTCCAGAATTCCCAAGTCCCGATTTCATTTGAATAACACTGTGAATGTCAGGACAGAAGAAATAAATTAAATTTCTCACTTTTTTTTTTTTTTTTTTAAATATAGCAAACGAGAAATTAAAATGAGGAAACTTGACAGCACGAAGGTCCGACCACTCAAATCTGAGCAGCTTCTTCACATAGAGGACCATGACTTTGCACTGAGACCTGGATTTGGAGGTAAGCAGCGCATGCCTGCACTGTGCTGGGTAAAAGTTTATCCTCTCTCTGGAAGTTTACTTGAACTTTATAATTTCAAATGGAATAACAGACTTAATGGCAGCACAGCTCAGTTGTTGTACTTCACGAAATAAAGAAGAAATACAGAAATAGTCAAAGACAAGGAGCTTCTTTGTGTTTAGTATATCACTAGGAGAAACTGTTCAAATTGTCTGCTTTACAGAACTAAGGAAAAAATAGTATTAGAATAAGGTTCTTTGAGAACAGTGATTAAGGTATCCCTGTCAACTGCATAGTCTAGTAGTAGCAATTACTTAGCAAATTACTTAGTCATCAGGTTTGTTTTGAGAGATTGAAATGATCCATCAGTTCCTAAATCTGCTGTGTACAAAAACTACCCACAGGCCTTCAGGTTATTATGATGTTGTTTCTGTCTTGTTTGGCACTATGATGATTATTTGTTCATTTAACTAAATTGCATTTGGATCAAGAGAGTATTCAGTGGAATGTTCACAGTTTGGATTCAATTTTGACTCTCCTTCATGGAAGGGAAAATGAGAAAGCTGCCCCACTAATAAGCTTTGTCTGAGCCTTTGCGTCACCAGTTCCCTTGTCACGATTCAGGAAAATTAGACTGAACTGCTCTGGATTATGAGGCCAAAATAAAATCTATGAGAACCAATAATCAGTTGTGTAGACAAACACAGATTTAGGAGGCAAGCTGAAGTCTGGGGAGCTGCTCTTGTTGACACCAGCTGCTGGGATCTGGGGCCTGCTGATCATGCCAAGAGGGAGAATGGGTAAGGAAAGCATCTTTGGATGCACTGGGAGAATTGGAAAGGGTTTCTTGTTACCATAGAAATGATGTCTTGTCAGACAGCAAAAACCTTGCCTGGTTTTGAACAGTAGTTGAGATACAGTCTGTTTCTTGGCAACAGAAATTCAGATTATCTCCTCATGCCTAATACCTGTCTTGTCTAATATCTGTTAATCTGGTTAATATGGACATCTTCTTGGTACCTCACAAGCAATTTAATTTTTTGAGAATTCCACTTCAGAAAGGAGGTAGCATTTCCATGAAAGCAGACATTGGTTTGGGATGTCCTTTATCACTGGATCATGCCAGAAAACAGTATTGATAATGTACATAAAAGCAGCTTTGAGAACATACCCTGTGATCTGGCAGTTGTTAATTTTCCATGGTCAGTGAGGATTTTTCACACCCAGGGTTTTTCTCCTTGTCCTTTTTATTTTTTGTAGATGATTCGTCACAGAGCCCATTCAGTTCCTCTTGAAGCCAGCTGTAGTTTTTCCACTGACTTCACTGCACAGGCCTCTCACTCATCACATTGCCCTGGCTGTGATTTCAGTTTTCCTCCTGTCTTTCAGAAATAGCTTTCAGCTGAAGAGTGCCTCAGCTCTGCTTCTCCTCTGTCACCCACATGCCACAGTGGCATGGGAAGCACCTTTTTCTTCACACACTTCCAGATTTTCAGAACACTCTTAATATGTGGAATGTGGATCTCTCTTAAACTAAAACAGGTCCACTTGCATTTTTATAGCAGAGAGTGAAAAAAGTCACAGTGAAATGAGTGTCAATCCCAAATTTATACTCCAGGGTTCCTGTTTTACCATTGATTTCAGTGGTGTTGCAGTAGTAAGGAGTGGTTTGGCATTCATAAGGCAGTAGCAGAGGTTTAACACACAATTGTGACCTCATCAGTGGACAAATTTCTCTAGTGAAACATGAATCTGAATAACATCCTCGGGATTATTTTATGACAGCAGATATGGGGTGTGGGTTTCTCTGAAGAACAGTGATGATTAAGTGAGCAGCAGGAGGAAACTTACCTAGAGGAGAGGGAGAAATTAGAGATATCATTGCTACAGTCATTGCCACAGCAGTTACAACATAACCCTGGACTGCACTGAGACTTACAGCACTGTGGCTTTGTGCAGTTACCACAGGTGAAATGTTGGGTTTGTTTTCATCGAATTTAATGAAGCAGCTCTGTACTGTGACTCCTGAAGGGCTCTTATCTGTTGCATGCCACATCACATGATCTGTTCAGCTCAGCACAATGCATCAATTTGCAACAGCAGCAACAAAAAAACCCCAAACAGATCAGGAAAGCTGGATGAAAAACAAGTATTTATTCTTTACCTGTAGGAGAGAGATGGGTTTTCCCCCCTCTCCTATACCCCACTGTGATTTTTCTGGGTATGTCAGGGAGTTGGAATGGCAGACTTTGTTAATCTGACTCCGCTTTGCCTGAGAATGACTCTTTGCACCATTTTAGGAAAAAAGGTTGCAGGAAAATTCATGCTGTTGGAGATTCCTCAGTTCAGGGAACTCTTAAATCTAAGTCTGCCTTGTTTGATTTCACTTAGCCCCACACATGCAAGGTAAATGACCACAGCAGACCACAGGATCCAGAATTTTTAGTACCTACAGTTAAACTATACAAAGGAAAAAGAGAGGGAACACATGCTGACTTTGATTTGTAAACTGTTCAAACACGGATAGGGAAAAACGTGGGGGAAATAAATGTAGAACTGTTGGACACTGATGCTACTGACTGCAGTGTTACTGGAAATAATTATGGAGGTGAGAGATCCATTTTTGACCAAATGAACACCACTCTGCTGCCATTCATATGAGTGTATTTTGGCATTCTTCTGTTGATTGCAGTGCCGTGGCAGCTGCACAATCAGAATTTGACTCTCTGACTGTAAATTTTAAAATTTAGTCCTGCCATTGTCTGTTTATTAGCAGAGATCAAAGCCAGAGAAACACAGAGCACTGAGATGAAGCAAACCCAGAAACTGCTGGCAAGCTGATCCTACTCTTTAAAAATGTTGCTTTGCAGTGAGGTTAAGTGAGGCAAACCAACGTTTCAGTACACCCAAACTTTAAAAATTTAAACTTGACATTGTTGCATTGTATTTACTCCCTAAGCAAGGCTCTTGAGTTGTTGATGAAAGTTGGTGGTGTTTTTTTCCTTTCCTAAATATTTTGTTATGGTTGTTGTTTGATTGTTGCCTTCTGTGTAATGTCATGGTCCTGTTTGGTTTGGAAGTGAGAAGGCAGCTTAAACTGGGAGTGGAGAAAAAGTAAGAAATGAAATTATGCTGCCAGCACTTCTTGGAATGATTATCCACAACTCAGCAAGAAAGGGTGAGCACGGACAATGAATGAGACTTCTCAGCATATCCTGACTTGTAAAGCTCAGATCTGAGTGCCACAATGCAGGCTGCCATAGCACCCAAAACCCAATGTTGAGAGAAGTCTTAGAGCAAATCCTTAGAAATGCTTTAAATCTACTTTTTTTTCCCCCCTATTATATATCTATGTATCTATATCCTTTTATTTTCTGAACTATCTTATTTCAAAGTACTGGTCAAAATGACACATGGTGTTGTATGCGTGTGTGTGTGTATGTATATGTATATATATTGGTTTTTCTTTTACATTGAGTCTTAAGGACCTGTAGTTTCCTACACTACAAGTGTGTTAGTTAAAGTTTTAAAATTGATGATCTCTTCTTTTTCAACCAATATAGAAGATAATAACATAAGCAAGTATTAGAGATTATTAAAATAATCTGGCAGCATTTAGCTGGTGAAGAGGTAGCAGTCTTTCCTGCAAATTTGCATCTCAATTTGCAATTAAACATAATCTTCATTCTGAATTTTCAGAGGATCAGAAATCCCATTCTATTACTCCCTCTTCAAAATAAATTAGTAACATTTTCATTCATATGAAGGTAAAAGGGTGGGGGGGTGAAAGGAAGGAAAATATGGCCCAGTGTATCTTCAAAATTGCTGCAATTCTAAAATTGCTGCAATTCTAACAGCTCTTTGCCACCAAGTTCTTTTCTTTTTTGCACCACAGCTCTCCCTGAAAGATGAGAAATATCTTATTCTCCCTGTGGTGAAGACTCACATGGGTGAAAGTGGAATGACTTTTTGTCACCTCTTACTGGAAGGAGTAGCTGGGAGTCCAGGACAGGAGAGAAGGGGAAATATATTGATTAATTGCAAGACCTCTAATAGTCTTCTTCTGGATTTTTTCCTTTCACATTGCTAAATCTTCCATTCCAAGATCTGGTTACTGCTCATAGCAGACCACCTTCGTTTCTTACATAAATGAGAAAGACACACAGTAGTAACAAGAAGAAAATGCTGTTGCCAGTGATTCTGTTCCTGTCATTGCCAGGAGAAAGTAAATAAATCCACGAAGCTTCACCTCCCTTGAGCTTGTTTACATTTCTATCCACTTTTCTTCCTCTTTTGACAACAAAGTCCACCTGCAGACCTTAGTTCTCCCCTGGTCTCTCTCCCCTGCTAGCAGTTTTCTCTAGAATATCCCTTTTTTTTTCCCCAGCATATACTATTACAAAGCCAACTGGGTACAGTTGTTTCTAAGTTCAATATCTATCCCATAGATTTTCAGGTGCAATCTGTTGCGTGCCCAAAGGTCTGGCTATTATAAAAATATTATAGCATTCACTAAACCAGTCATTATTACTGTGGAAATTGATCCTAAAAATGCTAAAAGGATAGCCTTTTTACATAATATCCATTCTAGAAAGGGTATTACACAATTTGCCTGATGTACTATCTATTAATAAAATTCCCTGCTCATCAAGAAATTCTTTTGCTATGCTTAAACCTTTAAATTAAAAGACTGGAAATGGCTTGCATGAAGTTAAACCTGTCTGAAAACAATGCTCTTTTTTTCTGCTGAGGAGTAATTATCCTGAAAATCTGTGGAGCCTCCATTGTGAAAATCACTAATCCCTCTAAAATAATGATTTGTAGTGACCCTTCAGAAGCAACTGAAGCTGCTCAATTTAATAACAAAATCCTCTCTGCCATCCCCAGTTTTGTCAAACTGGGAAATAAAAACCACAGCTTTGCTCTGGTTGCCTTTTTTTTTTTTTTTTAAGTGAATTTGATGCTGTTGTCTGATGGTCAGCCAGAGATTGAAATTCTCAATCTAGCAGGGAGAAAGCTGTGGTGCAGACACAGAGGTAGATGAATTGCTTTCCTATTTTGGCTGGTTTAGGAACCTTTTCAAATCTTACTGTAATTATGTTTTTTTATAAAAACATCCTCTTGTGACAAAACAAATCTAAGGGATGAAGAAATTAAAGTTCCTAGCAGCCTGTTCCCAATAGCTAATTATTCTTGTTTCTTGTTTCTAGTGGAGTTGATTTTTAATCACACACAGAAATGTTCCCAAAAACCATGAAGGATTAGACCAGACTGAGGCCAATAGGTCTCTTGTTGGTGTGGTAGTGACAATGATATAGAAGTGCTTCAGATTAGAAAACTGAAGAGCACAGTGATCAGGGCTGCATATAGGTGCAGTGTTTACTGGCTTTATTATCTACTTATATTTGTTGCCAAAGTAGAGTCAGAATAGGAAGAAGTATTTGCAGCTGCTCTGATTTGTTAGTAATGGATCAGGGCTGGGGTAGGGGATGTGCTTTTATAATACTGTGTGGTGAATTCTAGACTGGACAGTGTTTCCTCACTAAGTATCATGAATAAAGTCTTTGTATTTCTTCAGACAGGGAAGAGGAATCTCTTCTGAAGCACTCTGTTTCACAGTCCTTACACTTCTACCTAATCAGAAACAAATTTAATTGTAACAGTTCCCTTTTTATTCAATTCACTTTAGAATTGTTCACTGTATTTCTCCTGGTCATAGGTTTTGATTTCTTTTATGCTATTCATTGTCACCACCAACATGTTTTCATAATAGTTCCCAGTGCAGTACAAGCTGTCCTTTCAAAGAATCAAGTGTCCCTGTGTGTATTTATGGATAAGTGGCACCTTGGTTTGGTTCATGCAACCAACATAACCATAAATAGCCACTGATTTCTAGTTCTGTCATTGGTTCCTTTGTATCTTCCCAGAGGAGCTGAATTGTTGATGAAAATTTTGTCCACGCTGGAATAATGTTTGTTTGAGTAAAGAAATTGTGATTTTTGAAATTCCAAAAAATATTAGAACTGCTATCATCACACTTGGAGCAGCAGTCACTAAGAAAAGCCTTTTGCTGACTACACATGAGACATGGCTTAGAAAGTCAGATGTCTGATTCTGGGATTTGATTTGTGTGTAGCTCCTTGTTTGCCTGAAGAATGTTGATGGGGGACATTTAACTTTATTTGCTTTAAACTTGTCCTTGACTCAGGAACTGGTAAAACCTTTCTTGACATTGAGAGCTGCTCCCCCTCTCCTCCAGTTCCACCCCCATAATTCAATATTAATTGTTGTTTGCATTTAATGATGTGTATTGAATCTTATTTTGGGCTTTGGCCAAGAGGCTGAGGGAGGCATTCCTCTGAGAGAGAGACATGATTTCTGAGCCAAAAGGCCCAGCTCTTGTCAGTGCCCAAATATCTTCTGGTGTGCCCTGCTAAGTCTGAGCACATCTCACCTTGCTTTCCCATGCACAAGGCATCTTCATCTGGTCTGTGCAGGGGCAGACTCCCTATTAAAAAAAAAGACAAGTAAAATCAAGAGATTACGGAGCCAGATTTAAAAATACCTCTAAAATAGTTCAAGATCTTTACTGGTAAGAACTGGAGGCAGCTGTGTAATCCTCGAAGGCTGCTATTTTAAGGATAATTCCAAAAAGGGACACAATATTGTGGCTTGTTATCACAAGAGTGATGTTCCTGTACTATTTTGGCTTGACAGGGCTAAAAGGAAAAGACAAGAAAAAAACAAGTTAGAAAATCTGTTGCTGTTCAGACTTCCTTGTATTCATGTTCTTAACTGCTTATTTGGAATGTGTACTTTAAAAACATTTTAGCTGGTACTTTTTGACAAAAGTGATTGGAATCCCATGTACAATAATTCCTACTGATTTTCATGCCAAAAGCAGAATATTCTTGTGGTGGTGGTGTGTATATGCATATATGCATGCTCCTCTCTTCCTCCCCTGTAAGGAAGTGATTAATCAATTAGAGGAATGACATAACCCATGTAGAACTAGATCCTTAATTCTAGATATTTCACACTGAAAAGAGTGGAAATAATTTCATATTTGGCTGTAATTTTTAATTGATTTGGAGTAACTTCATCCTAAAAATGCAGTCAGTAAATACACAACACAGTGACAGAACATGATGTGTGTGTGTACAGCTTCTCCCTTGTGAGGTAGAGATCAAGCAATGCTTTTTCATGAACAGCTATACCAAACCTTAAACAGTTCACTAACTGAAGATAATAAGAGTCATAATAAGTATGCTGTTTGTGAATAAGGATTGGAAGTGGTAAGAAAGCTTTGCAATCTTTGATGTATTTACTCAGCTTTTCCCTGTGGTGGTTCTGAATTACACTCCAAGGGGTTCATTAGCTGTGGCATCACAAAGACACTGCCACTGCTGGCCAAAATGCTGTGCCAAAACCGCTGGTCTACCTGCAAAAAGAGCACTGAACATCTTGTGTTTATTTCACAACTGCTTTAGCATCAGGTTTTACTTTGTTGCCTTTTATCATTCAGTGTTTTAAGGTGGAGAGACTGCAGTAAATGTTGGAATAGAGTACTCTCTGTATCCTGCTAGTGCTGCAGTCTTCCCTTTAAAAATAGAGAGTTTTGCTCCTCATGCCTTTTTTGTTCCCATGCAGGGTCACCAATACCTGTGGGCATTGATGTGCAGGTGGAGAGCATTGACAGCATATCTGAGGTTGACATGGTGAGTAGAACTGGAATAAAGGGTTTCAGTAAAAATACAGGGGGTTCAGGAACATCCAGGTGGTTGATACAGAATAATGTAGTTAAAGAAAGCAAACGCTACAGAGCACATCCTTGCCTTGAAGCATGCATTTAAACTAGTAAGTGTTGAATTTCTCCCTGGGCCAGAGGAACAGCTCAGAGTGAGCAGTGCTCTGGTTTGAAAACTACAACTATTCGCCCTGGGCTGCCACAGGAATTCTCAGTAACTCTGCACTCTGCATGATGAGGCTTCATGTCCTTTGCTTCTTTTGCCTATGCAAATCTGAATATTCCATAATTGTGGCATGGGTGGAGCTGTGATTATAACAAATGGAAAGAGAAACACCAGTTCCAGAAATGCTTCTGGGAAGGAGACACTGCAATTAGGCCTGTGGTACTGGAATGCAGGCTGTTCATTCTTCAGCCCAAATTGTCACTAATATTGTCAGTATGAACTCCTGCACTCCTTTACAAACCTACTCAAATCATAAAATTGTATTACAGGGCCATAAAATCATATTACAGGGGAAGATCTAACTCTCTTCACAGTATTCTTACCAGAAGCAATTGTTCTACTGAGATAAATGGTGTCTGCCTAATAATACAAAATTTGTGTAGGTGAACACAGAGCAGTCAGGCTGTGCAGAAGCTCACACTGGCTTTGCAGCATCCTCTCCATCTCTTCCCACTTGTGCAGTCGTGATGTTTCTCTAAATAGGATCATAAAATATTTGTAATAGTGTTTTATGTTAAAAGAATAGTGTAGTTATTGTAATTATTGTAAAATCTAACTGCTTACTCTTATGATATTCATTAAATTGTTTCTTTATGATGCATTTAATTAATGAATGTATTAATTTAGCCCCTGTACAATATTTGTACAAAATGAACAGATTTGTGGATTTAAAAAATTGACCTAGTGCTCATGAAGAACTCCAATTAATCTGTTTCTAAAGGAACCTTAAAGGAACCACAGTCCATTCTTGGAGAAGGTTGTGAAGGTTTCCACAGGAAATATTTCTTCCATTTACCCTTGTCTGGTTTTAAAGCTTCTTTATTACTGCACAGCTGGCCCAGTCCAGCAGACCACCAAAATATGTAGAAGTTTTATCTAAGGAAAAATGAAGTCTTAGCCTCAGACACCAGGGACAAGACTAACAACCAAAGTCTCATTAATATTCAGATTCAAAGTCATTGAGTGGTGCTTGGTTCCTCTCATTAAGGATCTTTCAGATAATGTGTGGAGAAAATTGATCCTTTGCATTGAATTGATTAATTTGTAGTGTTTTCTACTGCACATGACTAAAACGAGAATTGTCTCCTTTTATTTTTAATGAAACAAAGGACTTCACAATGACTTTATATCTCAGACACTACTGGAAGGATGAGAGACTCTCATTCCGTAGCAACAAAAACAAAAGTATGACTTTCGATGGACGGCTGATAAAAAAGATCTGGGTGCCTGATGTCTTTTTTGTGCACTCCAAAAGATCTTTCATCCATGATACAACCGTGGAAAACATCATGCTCCGAGTGTACCCCGATGGCAATGTCCTCTTCAGTCTGAGGTGAGGAAATACCCTTCCCTAAGAAAATCCATGACTGCAATTGTCATGTATTGGCTGTAATTGAAATGGCTGGAAATACTTGCAGGTAAGATTCTCATACTGAGCTGCCATTAATCCCCTGGCAGCACATAATGGGAAACTGGTGTGCCAGTGGGAAAATAAATCAAGGCTTCAAAATGTATTTTTTCTATCATTCAGATATTGTTTCCTGTCAAGGGAGTTATCAAGTGTTAGTTCCTTGCCTTGCTCTAGCAGTATTGCTACTGAGTACAGTAAAGCCCAAAATTATTAACAAAGAAAAAAACATGGTTTTAGTTGTTTTATTTTTTCTTCATGAGTCTTTTGAAACTGTCTCAGCTATTTTCACCCTGGCTTACCAGTTAACATGCCAGTGATACAAACTGGGGCTCTAGATAGACACAGAGAGGAGATTTTTGGTGCTGATACCACCAGTGTTGTGGGACTAAAAGGAACGGGAGAGTGAAACAGCAATTCCAGAACTGGAATAGCAAGGTCATTAATGTGTCTCCCTTTCCTGTATATGTTATTGCTTTGCTTGATGAAGGAGATTTGGATGATGTGGCAGAAGTAGTTTTAATGGAACAATTTTTCCCCTAGGATAAGGAACCTGAGGCCTGTGCATTGCAGAAATTCACTTGGTACTAATTAACTCTGAGCACAGAAGTGATATTTCATCCAGTCTGGACAGTTTGAAGATTTATGGAAGCATTTGGGATTGTGGCTGTGTAATAATTGTTGCAACAATTAATGAATTTATCTCCTCTGTCATGAGGATGTGCAGAAATTCTCACAACAACAACTGTGCACCACTTTAAAGTAGTGTATATTCAAGAGTCACACTGACAGTCAGGAACAATGAGGTGAAATGTGCTTTTTATTGTTGTATTAATTTCCATAATTCTTGAGAAGGAGGGATCAGAGGAACTAAACCCCTCCACTGAGGTTTATATCAGTGATTCTCCAAGAGAAAAGCAGGAAATGTTCCTTATATGTGCCTTAAAACACCTTGTTTTTGTATTTCCAGTTTTATATGTAGTAAGTAAATTATATTCCAAATACTTACATGTAATAAATCTGCATATTTCACAGTGTTTCTTCAGTGCCTGACATCCAGGATTTTAATGAAGCAAAGTGAAACCAAAATCTACATCTGTTACTAAAATAGTCTTTCTTTTCTTTTTGTTCTCCTGGTCCTTTAGTCAATAGCTGAAGCCTGGAAACAACATCCATAGCTGGAAATCCTATGCATATCCCACTCTTAGGATCTCATTTCAAGCCAGTAAAATCTTATATTTGTAAAAATTCAGCTACAGTGGGGTTACTGAGCACTTGTATAACCCTCACTGAAATTCCTGTAGGATTCCATTTGGGCAAAACTGAGAAATTGAACTAATGAACATCAAATGACATGCAAGCTGTGACAGGAAAGGAAATTTTGGCAATATTTACCATATTCAAATTGCTGCCACTAAAAAGTTTAAATATTTTTTGTTATTTATTAAATACAAAGGGATATTTGTCCTCTAAACATTTGTGAAAAAGCAGGTGGAATGTCAAACAGGCTTTGCCTAGATTTCCTTAAGCTTTTTGCAATATAAAGCATTTCATTTAAGAGGAGAGTAAGCTTCCAGAAATTGGAGCTAATCTCTTTTTACAATTAAATATTATAATCATTCCAGCTGGGAAAACTACACTTGGAATACTATTTTCTCTAATCTGTAATATTATCTACTTCAGTCTATGAGAAATCAAGAAATGTGAACTCCCTTTCTTAATCTTTGTAAGTGTAAACTTTCAAACTAAAATGTGTGAAAGACTAATGAAGGATCAAGCCAAATATAGGGTTTAAAAATCAAAGGTAATGTATTTAATAATAAAGACTATTTATGTTGGTTTTTTTTTTAATATGATCTCTCACCGATTTAACTTTATTTCACCACCTTGAAGCTATTTTAGAAGCTTCTAAAAGGGCAGAAAACCTCAATCAATAGGGTTCTAAACAGCAGATTGGTACTAAGATGTGTACACAGCTGAGAAAGTGTGAAATTTTTCATTTTATTTCTGCTTTTCTCTTCTTTTCTGCAGAATAACTGTTTCTGCTATGTGCTTCATGGATTTCAGTAGGTTTCCTCTGGACACACAGAACTGTTCTTTAGAACTGGAAAGCTGTAAGTTTAATTCCTAATTGTTCTTCACATGTGCATTCTTACCAGCACTCCATGTTGTGCATAATACCTCTTTCACTTACTTTGATGTGTGACCTGAACCCTTCAGCATGTACATATTGAACTGTAGGCAATTTGGGATCTTTCCAGACCTCAGTGAGCTTTGGGGAAGGTCGAAAAACCATGATGCACCCTGCTTTTTTCCCACTGGGTATTTATTCCAAGGCCTAAATCTAAAAATCTGTCAAAAAGCACAAGGGTTTTTTCTGTGAGAAAAAAAAAAGTGCAGATTAAAAGTAAAATAAAATGTCAATATTTAACTTGTTGGAAAAATGAAAATGTGTGCTTGTGTTACTGTGAAACATCTCCTTTCTCACCCGTGCCTCAGTTGTAAGTTGCTGGCAGGGCACAAGGCTGGGCTGCACTTGAACAAGATGGAACATGGTCTTTGCAAACTTCTTCCATGCCAGCTGACAAACTGGTGTGAAAAAAATGTCTCTTTGGGGCTCTCCCTGATTGGTTGAGTGGTCCTCTCTCCCTAAGAAAGGAAAGAGGAAGAGATATTAACTTTAGTAACTTTATAACTTCAGTTTCTGCTCTCTCACAGATGCATACAATGAAGATGATCTGATGTTGTACTGGAAACATGGCAACAAATCCTTGAGCACAGATGAGCACATCTCCCTCTCCCAGTTCTTCATTGAGGAATTCAGTGCTTCCAGTGGACTTGCATTTTACAGCAGTACTGGTACAGTAAGCCCCTCTCCTCCAAAGAGAGAAGCACAAGATAAAATAATGCAGAATGTCTTTCAAATTCTTTGCTAATAAATGACAGTGGCTGCTGAGAGATCAGTTAAAATGAGGTCTTGTCAGTCTGGGGCCTTGGTTCTCTTTGCATTACCAATATAAAACTTTATTTTAGGGGAAAAAAGGCCATAATAATACTTGTGACTTCATATCTGTCATTAGGAAACTGGAAAAAATGCACAACCACCAAAAATGTGCTGTTATAAGCTCTTGCAAAATCATGGTGCTTCTCTGAAAGCCATTGGAGTATTGATATTACAGGAATCTTTATGTCCTGGCTGTACAGAAAAGCTTGAAAATGGAAATCCTAAAAGGTCAGATACTAGAAAGCAAACAAGAGGAATTCCAGTGTGCTAAAATACCTTCAGTTTTGAAGCTGTGTAACATCACTAAAAGTCTGCTAACTGGAGGATTTTCAAATGAGACTATTTCTTACCTGTTCAGGTCTAATTCATTATTTGCTTAATTTTCCTTGTTTATACATAAAGCTGCAGGAAAAATATCCCTTTATGTCAATGCAACATACTTTAAATTCAGGTTGATCTTCCCCAGACAGGTTTTTATTTCTTCCTGTAGATCTTGCTCTATACTTTCTGGCAAATTGCACAAGGCTTTAGGAGTTCATTGTAGTCTTGATTTCATGGAGGGTGGAGTTTATTTTCCTTGTAGTCTACATGAAATGATAAATTTTGAAACACTTCTCTATGTAAGTAGTCTAACCATGGGTTTTTAACCAAAGGAAACAGCACTATTGCAATTGTACTTTACAGTCTGAGTAAATTAATTTCAGTTTGGTTATTGTCCTTTATATCAAAACAGATGAATAAGAGAGAAATTACTCCATTTATTATGGTGAAGTGCACAACTCTTTGGAAAAAAGCATTTAAGGAAAGCAGCAGACAGATTTATTTGGTGTATTTTATTTACAGGTTATTTTCTTTTTACTTTCAAAAGACAGCCATTCAAATTTGTGGTGGCTACTACTGAATGCAGGAATCCCAGTTTAAATTATGATGCAGACTAGAGCAGTGAAGAATTCACAGCTTGATAAGGTTCTTCACCCTTATCTCCTGCTCCTGTATAAGCTAAGAACAGAGCTCCATCTTTCAAAAGTTACTGTCATGTGGCTACCCTGCTATAACTGTGCCTTCCTGAGAGCTACATCAAATTTGTCCTTGTTGCCAGAAGGAGACTGGGATATTTTCCACCAGACTGGTTCCAGGGGCTCATCTGGCTTCTTTCTGCCTTGCTATTATCATCAAAAAACACTTGAGGCAAGAAAATAGAGCCTTGTGCACAGCAGGGCACCCTCACAATGCCCCTGCACCCACAGGGCTTTGCAGCACCCTCACAGCATCTTTCACTTTGCAGAGTGTAACTTTACACTTAACATGCAGAGGTTCTGAGGTGAGCTTATTCAGCAGCATAAGGGTGAAAGCAAAGACTTTTTTTTTTTAAGTCTCGGACCACTGGGAAGTACCTGAATAATGCTTGTAGCATATCTGGTAATCAGAATGTTGTCCTTTGTGGGCTTATGCTTGGCTTTGAGGTTTTGTTTTGTTCAGGAGGTTCCACTTTCTGTTGTTTTCTTGTTTCTTGTTGGAAGCAAATTTACCCTCCAAGTAAATGATAGTGGAGAACAAGCAGCACCACTCTAATGAGAGTCATCATTCCCACAAAACAGCTTTCTGCATTTCAGGTTCTGCATGTCCTTTCCTGTGAATCTCAGTGAATTTAGGTATTTAGGCTTTTGGAGTTCCCAGAGCTCCAGAGGAGCAACAATTTTAATCTGTTTTAGAGACAATAATCTTTAAAGCATAAAACCTTCTTCACAACTGAAAACACAATAGAACATTTAATATTATTTGGGGTTCATTTTGATATGTCCTTCTCTATAGAGTCACTCGTTGTGATGGCAGGACTGCTCCAGCACAGGCTCACGGATGCTTCTGTCTGTCCTGGACAGGCAGATGCTGTGCAGCCATCCACTTCTGCCTTTTTACCTCCCTGAAACCTGGTTTCCCTGCTGTGGCAGGAGGTACAGCACGAATGCAGTGCTGCAGAGGCAGAGCATGCCCCAAAATTCACTAGATGGCACCCTGTCCTCTAAAGTGAGTGCTGGGCTGGCAAGCAGGTGGCTCCCACCAAAAAAAGAAACCAAACGAAAAAAACCCACAAAACCAAATTGGAAGGAAGGGCTGCTTCTTATCAGGTAATTTAGGGAAGGCAGAGTGTTGGCATCACTGGACAATTTTATCCTGTCTGTATTCTCCTGGCAGTTTAACTTCAAGTCTGTTTGATTTTTTTTCAAATTTCCAACCTCAGTTATAACAGAGTATTTTAGACATGCTCCCGTAAACGAGGGAGGATGGACAGTTTGTAAAGCACTGTGTAAAACTAAGATGCTGGCAAGATTTCTTAGGCATTTACTGCTCCTGCTATGGATATACCACTCCTGCCAGAAGGAGGGGCCAGCAAACAGCTCACAAGTAACACAGCTCTCTTCTCTTCTCCCCCACCTGTTCCTCTCCCTTTTTTTCCCCAACAGGTTGGTACAACAGACTTTTTATCAACTTTGCACTCCGAAGACATATTTTCTTTTTTGTGCTGCAATCCTATTTCCCAGCCATGCTGATGGTGATGCTGTCTTGGGTTTCCTTTTGGATTGACAGAAGAGCTGTTCCTGCCAGGGTGTCATTAGGTAAATCTTTGCTATATATTCTTTGGGAAGGATAGACTCGAGAGGAGAGGGTTTGCAGTTACGTTAGCTTATTTACACAGGACATGAGCAAAAATAATTGCCTGAACAACACTGTTATTGCCTCTGTTGTCACCACCTACATTTGGAAAGGGGATGTTTGTTCAGACTGGCTTTGCTATTTTTGGAAACAGCTCGCACACCACAAAAGCAAAAAGGGATGATTCTGCAGATTTCCTGATAGAATTTTACTTAATTGCAAAACCTTGCTTATCCTTCCCTCTTCCTAGCAAAGTCACAGGCAGTCAGATCCCTCCCCAAATCCATGAATCATTAGGTGTAGCCCAATCTATGGAAAAGCTCTGCAGCTCCTCTTTTTCTCAATAAACATTCATTATCTTCCTACCAACTTGGAAACAGTTGCCTGTGTGCCAAAGTCTTCACTGTGGGACACCTTAGAAATGTTTTCTTTGGTGTCTTAGCTGTGCAAGGCACACAGTCATCTGTGGAAGCCGAAAAGTAAATTCTGAACACCTCAGCTCAGGAAAAGAGGACCTATTACAGTGTTTTTTATAGAAGTTTTTTTTGTTGTTGTTTTTTTTTTTCTCACTGGTGAATCAGTGGATGGCACTCCAAGGCTGTCTTTGTTGTGAATATAATGCTGATGGCCTTGAGTGACCATAAAGCACCTGAGTCCTGCAACTGTCAGGATAAAATAAAGAAGCTCCTGTTATTTTATCTCACTGATGCTGGTCCCAGAAGCCAACTGTATGTTGCCATATTTCTTAGATAAGAGAAAAAGCCCTCATTTTTCTCTGTAACGATATCAATCTAGAAAAAATAGGATGGTAGCCACTCAGGTCCCTTTCTATTGGCACAGTCTAAAGCTATTAATACATGAGATATAAATCTCTTTATTAATCTGTAAACAAATTATGGTACCTCCTACCTACTTTTATTAATCTATGAATTCCTTTTATTTAGAAGAAATTTAACTTCATCTTTAAAAATAACTTTTTAATTCTCAGTAGGCAATTTTTAATGTTGTCAAGATGGTTTTGCTGATCATGTTCTTTATATATGGATTTCTGCAGAAGGTTATGCATCAGGAGTTCCATGAATAAAGCACATTTCATTAGCATAATCATACATAATTTATAGGAAAACCTTAACAACAAAGTTTAATAAGCCTACCTCCTTGGCCTAGTGTATATGTACATTAAGTAAATTGATTTCCTCTTATATGGTGTATATCAAGCTCGATCCTTCAAACTAAAGAAGCTGCAGAGAGGTAGAGGAAAATTCTTGTATATTCCAGTGGACTTGAACTGGTGTAGAACTGGAGAAGGGCTGCAGCTGACAGTGCTGTCTCACAGATGTCAAGATGTTTTCACTTCCAGAGTTACATTGATTTCTTTAAAAGCAGAGCCTGAGTTGGGTGGGGTTTTTTTTGGTTTTTTTTTGTTTGTTTGTTTTTTTTTTTTTTTTTTTGTTTTTTTTTCCTGAGCTGGAGCACACCAAAATGAGATTAATAGCTGATGTAAGAGCAGAGATTGAAAAGATGAGGGTGAAATTTTGGTCACACTGAGGCAAACGATAATTTTTTCTTAGTTTCAGTGGCCGTAGCATTTTTATGCTAGATTGTTTTTAGAGAGCTGTGGAGTTATGACAGGGACATAGAGGCTGATATTTGTTCTCAAGAAGTACAATTTGAGAAAGGGCTGGGAGAGAAAATGGTGATTCTTTAGTGATTTTCCTGGACAAGAAAATACACAGAGGCAGCCCTGGCTCTGGGAAGTGAAGAACGAGCACAGCTTTCACCTGTGTGTGGCAGTGCCCAAAGCTGTCACATAAATGTGTTCCTTATGCTGCTCAATGACCATTCTAGCAAAGAAATGATTTAGTGCTCTCAGTATTGTGTGTGATGGGTCCTTCATGGTTCACTCCACTTCTCAGAGCCTGTGTGAGGGAGCTAAAGGGGGTGTCAATCACACACCCTCACAAAGCTCTGCTGTCCAAGCAGTGGTGATGAGCTAAACAGAACCAGCTGGCCAGAACTGTGATAACCTCTCTTTTCTCTCTGGCAGGTATAACTACAGTGCTGACAATGTCCACCATCATGACAGGAGTAAGTGCCTCAATGCCTCAAGTGTCTTACATAAAGGCTGTGGATGTGTATTTATGGATCAGCTTCCTTTTTGTCTTCCTGTCAGTCATCGAGTATGCAGCGGTGAACTATCTCACCACAATTGAAGAGAGAAAACAACTCAAAAAAAGGGGCAAGGTACAACTCTCTGTGTCTTGTTGCTTTATGAAAGCATCATGCAAGCCACAGAGTAGTCCTGATACACCACTGTGATAACAGAATAGTAACAATCTCTGTCTCCGCTCTGTATCTCACTTTTTTTTTTTTTTTTTCACCTGGGTGAAGAGAGACAAAGTGTCCTCCTCTCTGAGATCCTGAAAGATCTGTGATTTCGCTCCTTTTTCTTGTGGCAGAGGTTAGGGATATTTTTTCCCCTTTTTTCCCCCACAGAGGAATATAACCTTCCTTCTATTTTCCAATACCTGTCAATCAAGGTATTTCTCCTGTCTCTGAAATAGACCTCAGCATGCCCTCATATGATATTTCTCCCTGCTTCCTGTTTCTTTTTTTGTCCCAAGACCGGATGAATGACAAGGTCATTTTTAGACAAGTGTACCTGAAGCAGAAATAGTCACAAGTTAAACATCTGCTTTCTGTGAAACTCTCACTTAAAACCTTTGCTTGAAGAATATCCCCTTTTTAAACTCATTTGCTGGAATATCATGAGGGGAAGAGCACAGAAAGAATGCATATGTTGCTCACATGATTGGATAATCCCATCAAAAACTTACTCCCAGAAATGTTTGAAGTAATTTCCCACAACTCCAGCAACAGAGACCTACAGGAGAGAGTTAGATTCTTCTATTTCAGCAGCTGAGGCATGAATTGCCAGCCAGCAGCTGGCAATAATCAGGCAGACAAGTGTGTTTAATGACATTTGATGACATTTCCTTGCTCATGTCCCGCTCAAGGGGCAGGCCCCACAGAGAGCCATATTGTTCTCCACATGCTCTCCACAGAGAGAACAACACTGAGGGGAAAGCTTTCTTTGTCTTTGTTTTATTCATTTATGATTTGCCACAATGGCTCCTGCCAGACACACAATAATTCTCCTTTGTTGCCAGGCTTCAGGAATGTACAGCATGGATGCAGTGCAAGCGATGGCTTTCGACGGCTGCTACCATGACACGGATGAGGACATGGACCTGAGTCCCTTCCCAGAGCCCTGTGAGGAGAATGAGACCAGGGCAAGTCAAACCAACATCTCCAATGCTGACACACCTCGCTTGAAGAGGAAGAGATCTCTGAAGGGAAACGTGAGCAGGATTATTTTACAGAACAATCACGTTATTGACACGTATTCCAGGATTATATTTCCCAGTGTATATATTGTGTTCAACTTTTTTTACTGGGGTTTGTACATATGAACAAAAATTATTATGAGCTAGACTTTATTTTGTTTATGAGGGTTGCATCGTACTTCAAAAATAATGCAACAGCAGTAGAAGAAAAGGTTACAATTTTCCAAAAGAGACTTCTGCATCAAACCTGACCTGGTTTGGTTAGCAGCAAAACTCTTCGTGAAAAACTCTCACATCTCTGGGTTCTTTTCCAACTGGACTACGCAGAGCTTCACCGGGGTGACCCCATGCACAGGCTCCACTGCAGTAGCACAGCAGCTGTGTGCTCACTAAGGGAGCCCTTTGTCACCCCCTGTTTTGGTCAGCAGTCGGCACCAACCGCTGTGGGATACCTTTGGGATAGCTCCTGTCCTTGTCTCACTTCCTGCATTCCAATTTTCCTGGGCAACCCCTGTGCACCTCAGCAGCCTCTGCCCTTGGATGGGAACCAGGGGAAAAATTATGGCTTAGCAGTGCAGTAGGGACCAGCAGGAGGCCAGGCTGATGGGGCTTTGTAGACTGTGCATCAGCAGCGCTTCAAGAAAACCCTTCACCCTTGTCAGCTGTCCATAACTCTCCATGCTTTGAAGAATCTGGCTCACCAGTCCCTGAGGCAGCACAGGGACAACTTTCCAGACCCTGTGCACTTGCAGCCACTTCCTAGGTGGATGAGCAGCACCTCCAGCATGAGCTGTGTCCTTCATGAGTTCACCTCTACCTCACCTCTACCTGCTGTAATCCCCTGCTTCTTGCAGAACTCTTTGGCTTAGAAACACTTTGAGGCAGACATTTTAGACAACTTTGTCAAGAGAACAAACCAACCACGCCTTCGGTTCTTCTGCTTTCTGTTGCATGTAAACTTGGGGTTTTGCCTCCCTCCCTCTCGCTTTGGCTTTTGAGATTGAATGTTCCAGTGAGGAGAAGCTGCGTCTGCCCCTTGCAGCAGTGATCCCCAGCATAGTTCCAGGAAATAAAAGGAAACAGCTGTGCCAAAACAGAGACACATACAGGAAACCTGTCAGTCTCAGATGAATCCTGCGTGAAATATCCTTAGGTTCAGGCTAAGGAGGCTGAATTAAGGATGTTCAGGGATAAACACAGAAAGTTTTCACAGCTCCAGAAAAGAATCAAGATTACTTTTGTAACTTTCCCAAATAAGGAGCATTTTCCACTAAATTCCTTGGGGTTTTCTGTAATTTAATGAGCTGTGTTTATATTTACAAATTGAGATCAAAATCATAATTTTGAAGTTCAAAATGATCATTTGGTGACAAAATGCATCACAAGGTAAATACTTGGTCAAGTTTATTGGTCAAGGAAGTGGGAATAAATTTGGAAGCTTAAGTCACTCTCTGGTTTCTTTATTTATTTTATTTACTTACTTTTTTTTTTTTCTTGTTCAGTTTACTTATTTTCTTGCTCCCATCTTGTTTGTTCAGAGCATGATGATGTCTTTTAACTTTTTCAAAGAGCTGCATTTGTCAAGCTCGCAGATCCAGAGCTGGAGAAGTGGTGACACGGTGCCTGCTGAGTGACTGAAATCTCACGGAGTGAGCGGGACAGATCGCTGCCAAACAAATGTATCAGAGCTGAGACAGCTTTGATGCTTTTCCAGGAAATCCTGTCATGGAAAGCAGAACCATACCAGGAATGACAATGCTGGGAATGCAAAGCCAAAGGACACACAGGCTTTGGCAAGAGTAACAGCACAGCAGACCTCAAGCTGAGCAGATGTATAGTGTAGCTGTATATAAAAATACACCATCACAGCCTTGCTCCTGCGCTGCCATTATGAGGCATCCTGCACAGATGTTCCAGATTGCCTGAAAAGATCCCATCTAGTTGCTCCAGATGTGTAATGTGTCTTCTAAAGTTTTCACATGAACTAATATAACATCATTGTTTCACATATTTTTCTGCCCTACAAGAAGAAGTATTTGTTGTGTAGCCAACAGTGAAGCCTCAGCCTGCAATGGAGAAAAGACTCAAAATCTCTTCCCTTTTCTAAATTCCTTGCAGGATTTGCAGCAGCAGAAGCCATGCAGCACAGCATGCCCAAGCCCTTTGTAGGCTGAAGTAAACTGGTCCCCTCACATGGAGGTGTGGAGGAAAAGAGATTCCTGCCTGCATTTACCTTCCAGGCACATCTGTGCAGGTGCCAGAGAGCTGCAGAGTTGCTTTTGGTGGAGAAAGCTGTTGTTACTTTCAGCTGTGAATGAAACCATTGGCCAGGGGTTCTCCCCACCCAGAGTACAGCAGATCATCCAGTTCTACCCTCCTGCCCTGGGCAGGGATGCCTTTCATTAAACCAGGATTCTCAGACCTGACCCTGAACACTTCCAGGGATGGGATATTCACAGCTTCTCTGGGCAACCTGTGCCAGGGCCTCGCCAACTCACAGTAAAGATTTTTTTTTTCCTAATATCCAATCTAATCCTCCCCTCTTTCAGTTTGAAGCAATTCCCCCTTGTCCTGTCACTACATGCTCTTGTAAATGATTATGACATTTAACTTTTACAGCAAAGCTTATAATTTTTATCTGCATTAAGTACAGTGACAGGGATTATATCCGGATAAATTATGCATAAAAAAAATCTGTCGCTTGTATAAATAGTAAAAGATAACAAACAGTATTTCAAATAATTATTTCTTGTCTAGAGGGGGTGCTAGAGGGCTGGCTGAACTCCCGTGACCCTCTGAAGTGTGTGTTAACTTCCTGACAGGTATGGTAATAAATACTCTCAGTCAATTTGTCTCTGCAGACCAGCACGGAAGTCTTTAAAAAAAGTATTCACGAGTATTTCCCATTCCTGCTGGTTTTGCAGCCAGTCCCACGCGTGGGGTTTATATCCCAGAACATTTCCTGCGAGTTAAAGCACCGCAGGCATTATGTAAGTACGTACTTGGGGAGTGTTCATCCTGATGGCACTCAGGCAGTTCTCCTGAGGGTACTTTGTGGATTTTTTGGAGCTGAAATAACAGCTTGTCATGATTTCTGTGATCAGCTGAGGTGCAGGATGTGGTCTCACTATTTTTAACATCTGCTGCTACACCCATGTGTAATAAGAAAACATCCTGTGGGAGGTAGCTTAGGTGATTCAAACTTCTAAGTCCGAACAACTTCATTCTTAAAAGGTTTCATAATTCTTCAAGCTGTCGGTACACAAGAATAAAGCTTTAGTAAAGCCTGCCTAACATCTTTTTCTGATATCATTCGCCAATGTAAACTAAACCATTAGCGGGCCTCTTTAGTAAAGGTAATTCAAAATACTTCTGGAAGTTTTCATGTGCTCGGTAAGGATTCTGAAGATTTCTTTGGGGCAGCTTCAGAGGGACTCTGGAACAGGATTTTAGTCCGGGAAAAGATCGCGTAGCTAAACGCCAGACACCGTTGCGTGTACGAAGCAAACCTGAATCCTCTGAATAACTTCGCGGAGACAATGTTGCGTTCCTGTTGCAGTATGCACAGGAATAGCACTGGAACAGCGCTGTGTTTCCTTCCGACCGCCCGGAAGCGGCTCCTCCCGTGACACCCAGCGCGGCAGCGACCGCCCCGCTTCCACCGGCACATCCTGCGGCGGGGGCGGCCCGGCCCGATCCGATCCATCCCGGCCCGGTCCAGCCTGGCCCGGCCCGCCGCCATCCCCTCCCTCCCTCCATCCCACAGGGTGAGTGCGGGCTGCGGGCACGGGAGGGGAAGGCACGGGACGGGTGGCGGCGGGGCCGCCGCGTGTCCCGGGGCCGCCGCGTGTCCCGGGGCCGCCGTGCCCGCCCGTGGTCCCGCTGCTTCCCGGGGAGCGAGTCCCGCCGCTGCCGGGCCGTGCGGAACGCGCGCTGTGTCCCTGTGCGGTGACACTGGTGACAGCAGCTGTCCCTGAGCGAGCGGCAGCGGCCCCCTGTGCTGCTCGGTTCTTGCTCCAGCCCTGCCGAGAGGGAGCTGCGGGTGCGGGGAGGTGGGAAATGGGACCGGAGCCGGGGCTGCACCCAGAGCAGCGTGGCCCGAGGGAGGCAGGGACGGGATTCTGCCCCTGGAGAGCTGCACCCAGCTCTGGGGTGCCCAGCACGGGAAGGACCCGGAGCTGTTGGAGCGAATCCAGAGGATGCCACCACAATGACCAGAGAGCTGCAGCACCTCTGCTGTGAACACAGGCTGAGAGGGCTGGGCTGGTTCAGCACGGAGAAAGTTCTCCAGGGATATTCTTTCAGTACTTAAATGCTGTAAGAGAGGCGAAGACCTTTTACCAGGGCCTGTAGCAACCGGCCAAGGGTGAATGGTTTTACATTGTAAGGGAGTAGGTTTAGATTGGATACAGGGGAGGATTTTTTCCAGTGAGGTTAGTGAGGCCCTGACAGCTTGCCCAGAGAAGTTGTGGCTGCTCCATCTTCTGGAGGTGCTCAAGGCCAGGTTGAATAAGGCTTTGACCAAATAGACGGAGTGGGAGATGTCCCTGCCCATGGCAGGGGGCTTGTGCCAGGTGATCTCTTCCAACCCAAAACAGTTGTTGGTTTGCAGTTGTGATAAATAACAAAACACTACAGAGAAGCACATGGTGTAAATGAAGCAGAGTTCTGTGAACAGTACCTATGTGAATTTAACTTCATTAGATGAATCTGAGCGAGCTGAGAGGTTGAAATGATGGCTTTAGGTCTGGAATTCAAAACCATCAATTCAGGGTGGTTGCATTTGTGTTCCTGACATTTGGGGAACACCAGTTTTAGATCCTAGTGTGAGCAGCATATTCAGATCTTGCTGCCAACCAGGGACTAATTTTCAGTCTTTAATTTTTTTAAGCATTCTCTTGCCCCATGTAGAACAGTGGCTTCCTGCTGCTGGGAATGTCCATCCTGCTGGGAAGGTGGTGATGTGAGTTCCCTCCTGCAGGACTGAGGTGACCACAGGTTACTATTGAGGGACAGGAACTGCTGATGAAGCATTGCCCAGGAGCTGGGGGATCAGCAGGGTGTCCTGCTGCACTGGAGAACTTGCTGCTGCTTGGAAATGCCACAGCTGGAGTTTAGGTCTCAGGATAAGGGATCTGTGCAAGTAAAAGCATCTCAGTGCATTGATAGCATTTGCTTTTGGGAGTAAAGGTGCCATTTTTATTCAGAAGTGAAAGCATCAGCATGTTCTGACTCCTCATGGGTTGGATTCTCAGACTTGCTCAGACGTGCCCAGAGTCAGTTTGGGTCGGCCAGCCCCGAGCTGGCTGCCAGGCTGTGCTGCTCCAGGGTTGGGCTGGCTCATCCTCAGGATGCTTAGCTCAGCTCCCCAGGCAGGCTTCTACTGCTGCTCTGGGGGAGGAAGTGCTGGAGCAGACTCAAGGCAAGTCTGTCTGCACATGGTTTAGACCTACTGTTAACTCAATTTGTACCTTAAGATTCCTGAGAACTTGGCAGCTAAAACATTTGTGAATTTACTTTTTTATTCTTGCATAATTCTGCACGACATACTGTGGAAAAACAAAGTAAATGACTTTCAGCTTTAAAATTAAATGTCTGTACTTGTATGAAATAATTATTTTTATTCTGCATAAACCAAAGTTTGACAGCTTGGCAGAAATCAAAGCAGAATCTTGGCATTTTGGTCTTTAAACTGGTACATTTTACAAGTTTTAAGCTTGTAGGTTTAGTAATTACATAGCATCAACAGAAAGGCCTAACAATGTTCCTCTTTTGTAAACTGTTCCTGTTGAAGGATATGTAATAAGAATACAAGTTTCTGATCCTGCTCCCTCTCTCCACCTCCCTCTGCATGTTGCCACTCAATCTCTTAAAGCTGAGTTGATTAAAAAAAAAAATAATAATTTGGAAGCTCTTGCTACCTGTCAACTTGCCCACAGGTTCTCTGTAAGGGTGGGGGGGTTCCTGCGTGGGTAATGATCCATTGGGTTCCATCACAGCTGGGAGCAGTTAGTGAGCTCCTGAAGCCACAGCTGTTCCCAATGTACTGTGAAATCCCCCTGGACAGGGCAGGAGCTGCTGCCCTGGGCCTGTGACCTCTTGAGGTTGTGTTTTGCTCATTGTTCTGGGTTTCTCTCCCCTTGGACAGGAAGATGCCCAAGAAAGGAGGGAAGATTGCAGACGTGGTAAAGGAAACACAGGCTCAGTGCAAACGGCCCAGGTTGGATGCAGCTGGTTCTCCATCAGTCCTGAGTTTTGAGAGCCCAGACAGCCTCTTCAGGAGCCTGATCTCTCCCATCGGAGAAGAGGAGTTTTTCAGGGACTACTGGGAGCAGAAGCCACTGCTTGTTCAGAGGAATGATGTCCTGGTGGCTGCTTACTACCAGTCCCTGTTCCAGCTGTCACACTTGAAGGAGCTGTGCAGCCAGGGCCTGTACTACGGGCGGGATGTGAATGTCTGCAGGTGTGTCAATGGGAAAAAGAAGGTTTTAAATAAAGAAGGTAGAGTGAATTACATGCAGCTGAAGAAGGATTTTGACCAGAAAAAGGCAACAATACAGTTTCATCAACCTCAGAGATTTAAGGTGGGATTGTTTCATTGTAATTAACGCCTGTTTTGTAATGTGGTGTGGCTTTTGCTGAGTGGCACTAGACATGGCTTTATATCTGTCCCCAGGGGAGATTGGCATTGATGACCTGCTGGAATCTTTACATGAACTGTATTAAAACACAGTTTATACTTCTGCACTGCCCAGCATATTCCAGTGCTCTGCAGTAAGAACAAAGTGTGATTCATGCTATAATGTTTTTCTGTAGTATTTAGTATGCTTTTTAAATGCATATAATTGGTCATTAGGCATCTGTGCTTAGATTATCTCTTTGCTCCACTTGTTCCTTGTGCAAACGGGGTTTTGTACCACTTCCCTTTAATCAAGGATGAAGTGTGAAACCATGTAATGTGCTTCCAGAACACTCCACCATTCTTGCCAGTGGATTAACTTGAACTGCACCATGGAAGTGACCACCCCATTTTAGCTGAGTGTCCTCAGTCTTTGTGTATGGGAAGGAGACAGTGGTGCTGCATTGTTGTAAAGGACTTGGATACTTGAAGTTACTTTGATTTAGGCAGTCCTTTTTTGTCCCTTTTTAGGTAGTCTAATTGTGAGGTGGGCCCAAATAAGGACTCAAATACACAGCTGAGTCCCACCTGTAGTGCCACTGACTGATCTCAGTTGTTGGCATCTCCTGATGTTTCCCTGTCATGTGTTGGGTATTGAGGAGTAAAGTTTGTACTTGAATATTCCCAAGCAATTGGAGTCATTTGTAAAAGATGTCTGACCTTTGTGTTATTCTCTCTTTGATGCAGATGGGATGATGGGTGCTTTATTCTGCTCTGTTTAGCCTCATTTTTGCCTGGTTTTGTATACTGAAGTTGGTACAGGGAAGAGAGCAAACATCAGTGTTCTGATGGGACACCAGAGTTTTTGGCTTTCCCATTGCTTCCATGGCAGATCTTCTTTGCTAGTGCAATGCTTGCCTTGAGGAGAAGCTGCTTCCCAGGCTGTGTATTCCTGTGGGGATGTCACCATTCTTCCTCAGTGATGGGCTGGTGGCAGCCAAGCCTGGCTGAGCTCTTCAGTAGTAACAGCATCTATTTTTTTGTTTTTCCTTTTTAATAGGAGGAGCTGTGGAAGATTCAGGAGAAGCTGGAGTGTTACTTTGGGTCTCTGGTGGGCTCCAATGTTTACATCACTCCCCAGGGGTCTCAGGGCCTTCCCCCTCACTACGATGATGTCGAGGTAGGACAACACCACCTTGTCTGTGGGACCCTTTGTGGGCTCCTGGCAGTGGATGCCTCTGTGTGTGCTTCCACCTCTTCCCCACAATAAACAATCAAGAAAGAGTTCTGGTTTTCCACAGAAAACTTAGGGTAATTATTTGCAAGTGTTTCCTTATGTATTTTTGCTGAAAGTGTACTAAAACTAATGGCCAAGTTTAAGTGACTGGAGAGGAACAGGGATTTCCAAATTCAGGATAAAACAGATCACACTTCACAACTCTTCTCTCTGTTGTCTCTAAATAGAGTACAAGAATTTAGTTCAAATGTTAATTTCTGCATTTAGATATCTAAAAGGTAATATGAAAGGAATTGCATTTGCTATGCTGGGGAGTAGCTGGGAGCAGGGAAGGGGAAAACCTGTATTTGTCAGAAAAGCAACCTCTGCCAGTATTTCTGTCCCTGGTTCTGGCTTGGTTCCCCAGACTTGGTGAGTCAGAAGATAAATTAAAATACCTGATGAGCTGGATGTGTGAGGGGCAGCAGGGCTTCCTTAGCCCCCCCCCCAAAATTTGGATTCATGGTCTTTTGCAGGTGTTCATCCTCCAGCTGGAAGGAGAGAAGCACTGGCGGCTCTACAAACCAACGGTGCCTTTGGCTCGGGAGTACAACGTTGAGCCAGAAGAGAGGATTGGGAGTCCCACACATGAATTCATATTAAAGGTTTAATTGCTTTTAATTCATATTAAAGGTTTAATTCAATTGCTTCAGGTGGTCTGGGCTGTGGTAGCAAGGATCATGCTTGGTAGGCTCTTAGAAGTAGCTGATGTGACCAAGTTAAAGACCATAAGGTTAAAATTGAATTAGATTTCATCAGTATTGCTCTATGAACTTTCTCTTTGTGCTGGTGCTTATAGGAAAAGGCATGAGAAAACTGATTTTTTTCCTTTGTGGAGGCAGTTTCATGTGCTTTGCACTTCTTTTTTGTCTCAACTTCCCTGATTTATATTATTTTCTGTGGAGATATTTTAATTTACATAGGTGAGAAGATAGGGGAGGAGGAAGGTTCTACTTGTTTTTTTAAGTGTTTTTACTAACATTTTCAGACTATTTGACTTTTCTTGTGATGCACTGTCCTTGCCTTTTGATATGATCTGAGCAAATTCCCAGGGCACTGAATTACCAACAGATTCATCTCAGCTGCTTTGTCCCCTTCCTGTGCATGTTCTAGCATGCTAAAAGCTCGTGTTTGCAGACAGGTGAAGAGCAAATATTGACAGTAGGTTGCTTTATGTTATTAAAGTGTACAGTGGAGAATTGCTCAGTCTTGTGATTTTTAAAGAATATATATTGTCAGTCTGTCTGCTCAGAGTTATTTTCTCTGGACTACAGTAAGGTTTGACCAAGAGGCCTAAATGTATCAATTCTCATTCATTTTCCTGCAGCCAGGTGACTTACTGTACTTCCCAAGAGGGACTATTCACCAAGCTGACACTCCTCATGGGATCTCCTATTCAACACACGTGACCATCAGCACCTACCAAAACAAGTAATTCCTCTTTATTTCTTGTTTTGTATGGCTTTCCTTTGCCAGATGATGTTTGTGAGTTGTACAGACCCGAAGCTGGTGCTTCAAAGAAGTGATGCCCTATTTCTTAAAAAAAAAAAATATTGTAATGAGCTCTGCTTGAGTCGTTACTGTGTTCCTATCCAGCCCTTGTGTGGTTTGTTTTCCTGTGGGTATCACAGGGATAGGGCATGTCAGCTTCCCCCCAGAGATGTGGAGAATGGAATACACCCCACTACTACATAGGTGCCTGCTGTTAGGGACAGAATCTAAGTGTTGAGGTAGCAGTAATTGAAGTTTTGGGGTTTGGGGGAAGGAGGGGAGGGAGACCATTGTTGTTTGCAGCAGTCTCTTTGCCAGGTTTTCATGCAGCAAGCTTGATTGCTTTTTAATTGCTTTATTTATTATTTACCAGCTGGAGACTTTAATGTGGAAGATAGTGTTACAACTGCAAGCTGACTGCTGTCTTTAAAAAAAACCCCTCACCAGTGGCTGAAGTTGCTGTTCATTTCATAATCCAGATAAAGAGCCACGAGTTACTCCTTTCATCAGGTTTCCTCCTGTATTTGATGGTCACCCACACCTCTTCAGACAAATTCTTCCATGCAAATATTCTCTGCTAATCTGTGTTTTTCATTTTCTACCCCATGCATGAGAGTCAGATTTCTTTTGACACAGGTCAGGTCCTTGTCCCCCCGTTGAAACATTGTTATCACACAGGTGATAACCAGCTCTCAGGTGCTGGGCTTGGAATTACTGGTCTGAATTAGGAATTGGGAAGGATTTCTGTTAGCTGCAAAACATGGCAGAACAAGTCTGGGCATATTTTAGATTACTGAGATAAATCTCTAACCACCAGCTGTGCCACTGTGGAAGCCCAGTCAGTGCTGCTGTACTCTTCCTGTGGCCGGTGTGCACAGCAGGGTTTGTCCAGCTGGATCTGTATGGATTTATTGGCCAAGCAGTGCTGGGAAGCCAAGGATTCAGCTCCTTCTAATGGGATTGCTGGAGATTTGCAGCCTTGTGTGGAGGCAGTGCAGTTTCTCCATGGCTGCACCAGCCCAGGGCCAGTCCAGTGTGTGACTTGTCAGGAGCACATTCCTTGGGGATGTCTGTCATGGCTGAGCAGAGGAGCAGGAAAAGCTTCAAGACTGCTCTTCTTCCAAGGTTAAAAAGTGGAATCATCGTCCATTAAGGTTATTGGCAATGAAGTGTAAGAGCCTTCCTCTGCCCCTGCTGTCAGCAAGTGTACGTGAAAGCAGCAGCAGTTCTGGTGTTTTGATTTGGTTTGTAGATGGAAGTATGATGTGGAAACATTTCCTTGGAAAAATTAAGAGAATTTGAAAATAGCTGTGGAGGTGGCACTTGGAGGTATTTTTAGGCACCAAGACAAAAGGGACATCTCTGTTGAAGCAGAGTTTGTCTGGACCAGATCCCAGTAGGCAGAGAGGATTGCATGTGTGGGATAAACAGGACAGTTTGGAAAAGCAGTGAGTAGCTGAAGGCATTTGTTGGCAGATGAAAACTGGGGGCAAGAGAAGCACTAAGAAGTAAATGCCCAATTCCTTTTACTGGCCGGAGTTCTTTCTTCCCACTGGGTAGCAGACAGTGAAACATTTGAGTAGACATGGAAAAAAAAAGAGGCTATAATAATTGTTTTATATCTTAACACTAGCTAGGAAAAAAAGTAGGATGTGTATTTTATTTCAATGCAACTATTTCAGTATTTTTTTTTTTTTTATTCTTCCTGTCCTTCAGCTCTTGGGGAGATTTCTTACTGGATGCAATTCCTGGCCTGGTGTTTGATGCAGCAAAAGAGGACGTGGCGCTGAGGACAAGCATTCCAAGGCAACTGCTCATGGTTAGTAGGTGGGACTCAGGGAATAATGGTGCATCCAGGTGATCTGTCAGAAAAGTTCTGTCAGGGTTCTCTCCTGAATCTTTAAGTCAGTGAAGCTGTGAATTCTTGTGGGACCTCCTTATGGTGGTCCTGTCCTGCTGCTTCAGCTTTGATATGTGAACAGCTCGCGGGGAATGTGTGAAGGAAACAAACTTTGGTTTGGGACTAAGCAAAGATAAAAGAATGTCCAGATTTTCTCTGCTTTGCTGCACTGCTTTAGGCCTGGTCTGTTCAGCTTGACTTCTCTGTGGATGTTTAGCAGGTGAACACAGCTGACTGCACCAAAAAGCTGAGCAGCCTTCTGAGAAGGCTTGCAGACAGTCTGGAGAACTCCAGGGAACTGAGATCATCCGACATGAAGAAGGATTTCATCATGCACCGGTTGCCGCCGTGCTTGGGATGTGACTCTGATCCTTTGACTCCAGGTAGAGTTTGAACTTCCCAAAACTGGCTGATGTGATGGTAGTGGCCAAGTCTGCCACTTAAAACTTGTAGCGTTTTATGGCAGGCCAAGGTCACAGTCTGGGCCCAGCTTTGTGTGGTGCCTGGCTCCGTGTGCGTTTGCACTCCTCTCTTGGTCAATTCCCAGTGTCTGGCAGGAGAGATGACTGTTTCCCTTAGGCTGAAATAAAGATTATCCTAGAATTAAAAAGTCTTTCTCATTGCTCCTTCCACCACAAGTTTGAGGACTTGTGGCTGTGGAAACACAGGTTAACAAAAAATCTGGCTATGAGAGAATGGGTAGTGCACAGGGGGCTCAATTTGTAGCATGTCTGGTTTTCTTCCTTTCCTAAGGGAGAATTTATTCTTCCTAGGTGGGAAATTGCCAAAAATAGATAGCAAAATCAGACTGCAATTTAGAGACCATGCTATCATCACTGTGGAACCAGATCAAGAGAATGCTGTAAGTAAAAGAAGCCCCCTTGTATGCCTGGGGTGGGGAGTGGGAGGCATGAGAATTGTTGCTCTGTTGTACTAAAAGGGTTGTGCAGTTCTGCTTGGTTGGATCCTGCATCCCATTATTGCTGTTAAGAGATCCTGGGGCTGTTTGCTGAGCACATTCCAGTCTTCTGGAGGGAGGTACAGAATTATATTGTCTGTGATTCTGCATGGCTTTTATCTGAATCACATGGGTAAGTCATTACAGCAGCTAAAATGGCCTCTCTAGCTCTTGATAATAGATTTTTCTTTAAAGTTTTTCTATTTAAGAACATGAAGAAATTACAAAATTAGGGTTCCTGAAGAGAGGGAATTCTCTTGGTTGCATTTAGTCTTCACTATGGAGTTATCTCTGTACCTAGTGGGTGATAGTGGAACTTAATAATTGTTAATTAACTTAATTTCACAACATAGATTCTGGCTCCTTGCATCATTCTGTGTTTACTCTGCTGCTTATCTGTGAGGGTTTATTAGTATGAAATTATAGAAGTGCTTTTTTGTTATCTTAATTTTAAAAATTATGGGGGAGGGGAAATGCATACAGAGGATGGGTTATTGTGTAAAAGTTGTTTTGTTTTGTTTTTGTTTGGTTTTTTTTGTGGTTTTTTGGTTTTTTTTTTTTTTTTGTGGTTGGTTGTTTTTTTTCCTTTATGAGTGGAATGTGTCCCTCTAAGTAAAACATACCGGAACTTTCTGACTGTCCTCCTCCATTTTATTTGTGTCCATATTGCTGTGAGACTGTGTAGGGTTGGGAGACTTTTTTTCCCAATTTGATTGCACAGCCTTCACCAAGGATTGATAATGGGCATGGGATTTTAAGAGACAGATCAGTCTCAGACTGGAGATTTATTGATGCACACCTGTTCATTAAGATTTTCCATGAGAGGTGCCTTAAATGGCCTGTTTTCTACACAGCAGCAGTCCTGTGACTCCAGCAGGGTCAGTTTTAAGGCAGAAAGTTGTAAATAGATTTATCAGAGGTGTTGGAGAGTCCTTTCTTGCTGTGGGAGGTGGCTCTTGGGTCAGTGTAGCAGTGGCCTGTGGAATTAAGGAGCTGGCACTGGAGTGAGGTGGGGGTGAGGGTGTGGATCACCTGTGACCATTTTCTTCCTGCTGTCTTTTAGGATGAAATTCGGAGGGAGATGGTTTATGTGTATCATTCCTTAAAGAACAGGAGAGAAACTCACATGATGGGGACAGAGGATGACACTGCCAGTGAGGATGGCCTGGCACAGGTTTGTTCCTGCAAACACCCAAAATTTATCTTGCCACTGTGGGTTTGGCTGTGTTCTTCAGCACCCAGAGTACCAGGATGAGCTGAAGCTGCGATACAGGCAGTGAATAGTAGAACTAAGTAATGTGATCTCATGCTTAATTAAACATTTGAGATGCTAATGGGATGTCTTGTGCATGCCCTGTGGCTCCAGCAAAGCTGCTGGAGCAACTAAAAGCTTCTCTTACTTCTGTATCCTTCAGCAGGTCCTGTCTGAGGCTGCTGGAGATGTAGCACACATTCCATGGGGATCACTGCACCTCACTTCTGTCATGTTAAACCTGTGGTAGCTCCTGTATGCACTGCAACACCCTGTGTAGGGCTGCTCGCTTCAGCCTGGGGCAGGTCAGCACTGGGAGTAAAGACCTCACTCTTCCAAAATCTAATTCAGGTCTGCACAACTCCACCAAGGAGGCAGAACAGAGCACAGCCTGGCCTTGGCTTGGCCATTGCTGCAAGGCTGTTATTTCCCTTTTCAGCTAAATCTCACTGCTCCTCTAGAGCTGAGGCTGGACACTGGTACCTGAGCTGCACATAATATCTCAGGATGTTCCTTCCTGCTCTTAAAAAAGAGTGTGGGAATGAAGGTTCTCTGTGTTTCTGTGCCCAAAGACTGCGTATGTCAGCTAGAACTAAAGCTCTGTGACCTTGCTAAAATAATGGGAAGAGTTAGCAAGAGGGTAAATTTAAATTTTTTTTTTTCTTCTGTGCCATAACATCCCTACCTTGTAAAGTGTGCTACAGTATGGAAGAGTTACAGTTTTATTTAAACCTATTTTACTTAGAGGTATCTTCTGAGGCATGCTCTCACCAACAGGAGTGTGCTGTGGGAATGGAGCACATTCCTGCTGCTCCCTCCCCACAGCCTCACACCCTGGTGTGTAATCAAGTCACTGCACTTTGCTCAGGGGCTTTTTCTGTCTCCTTTTCCCCAGCAGACTCACGGGCTGCGCTTCCCTTTGTCATACTTGGATGCACTGAAGCAGATCTGGAGTAGCAGCACTGTTAATGTTAAAGAGCTTAACCTTACCTCAGATGCAGAGAAAGAAAACCTTGCCTTGTCACTCTGGACTGAATGTCTGATTGAAGTTCTTTGATGCTTTTGTGAATTAGCTGCTCTGGCTATCAACGATCTCTTGAGACCGAGGTTTATTAAATTAAGTTTTTTTTAATCCATCCGGCCTCTGGTTTGTAGTGCTAACAAAGCATTGCAGTATCTGTACTTTGCTGCTTTCTGGTGCCAAATGTTAACTGTCCTTCCACACTTCTGGGAAACTGGGCATGGGGAAAAACAGGTAAGCGAGCCACAGCTCCAGGTGTGTGGCTGGATGAAGTCACTCTTAAGTGCCCCCAGTGCTGTGATGTCCCCTTCCCTCTGGAGAGCTGCTGGGCTGTGGAGGACATCTAGAGTTATACATGGAACAGGCTCCAAAAACTTGGGCATAAAACATTAACTTGTTTTTTTTTTTCATTTGTGAAGTACATCAGCACAAAAATCTGACTGATTGCCCTGACTGAACAAAAGCTTCCTGGTAAAAGCTGTGTGTGCTGTTCCCACAGGGAAGACTGCCCAGGAAAACCCCTTTTCCCTCAGATGCTGCCATCCTTGGAATAAACAAACAATAATATTTATCCTCTACCTCCCCCAGCACCAATTTCAAGTGACAGTAACCCAAAAGCCTGTAGTTGGAATCTATATCTTCAATATTCACTTGAGTGGGTTTGGTGAGTCTGGTGCAGTTACTATAATACTTCATTGATTTTTAATGTGCAATCTCATTCAATATACTTATCCCCCTTTTTTTGGCCATTGGAAAAGAAATATTTTATAGGAATGTGTTCAACATCTGCTGAAAACTATTATTTAGTTTGTTTAAAAAGAAACCAACCAGCCAAATGTTTCTCCTAAAAAGTTTTATACAGTTAAAATATACATGCGTTAGCATTTTACATTCAATGTCTCTTAAGTACAAAAGCCTGCTTTACTTTGTTATGTAACACTGAGACACCAAGTATGATTTAGTCATTCTTCATTTTAAAAACTACAGTTTTTTTACACAGGCTTTTAAAATTTCATATGGAAAGTCACATGCAGAACACTTGATGTACTGACTTAGATGGAAAAAAGCTTAACAAGTGCTTTAGTTGAAAAAATATATACAAACATTTGAGCATCTTACTCAAACAGCAGATTTATGATAATTTTAGAATGTAAAATAGTAAGTGCAAGTAAATTTTTTTTAAATAGTACTAGATAGAACTCCATTTCATACAAAAATAGACATCCATATATTTTATTTCTATGGCAAACTTAAGAGTTATGTCTTTCTTTGGGGATGATCCTGTTTGAGTGCACAGCTGGCATAGCTTTTTGGAATTTCAAATATCTGTCTTCAGCTAACCTGAACTCTTTAAGTAGTCCTAGAAATACATACCCTGAATGTACAAATGCTGGAAAAAGATATTTTCAATGAAGATTAATTTAGTGCTGCTGAAGCTGGGGAGCCGAGGGACTTCTCTTCCACGTCAGGTGTTCACAGTCTTCCAAGGGGCTGTGGTTGAGCCAGGAAAAAGCTTTTCTGGCTCTGTTGGAGCAATAGCTGTGGTTGCATAGTGTGGAAAGTGAGGAGAGCCCCGGCACTCCAAGCTCTGCACCATCAGTTGTCCTTGGTGCCACGATGACCCTGACATGCAGCCATGCTGCTCTGGGAACGTGAGGCCAGCCCTGGAGTGCAGGCTGCTGGCACCTTTGGAAATACATGCCAAGGTGAGTTGATTTCGTGCTGTTAAAAGCAGAGAAGACAAAGGTTTACCAGTATCATTTAGGGGGTGAAAGACCCCTGTATTGCCTCATTTCATATGCTGAGCTGGAATTCCAAGGTGTTCCTTGGTTCAGTTCAAAGGTGTCCTTGTGAACAAAATAAACTTCATTTTAATGAGAGATTGAGGATCACTTGGAACCTAAACAGTTTCACCTGGGACATAAAAGCCCCACTCAAGTTCCTTGAAGCTCATCAGTGCATTCACTTCTCAGTGAGCTTCCAGCAGTGTGAGAGGAAGGTAAAGACAGCATTTCTGAAGAGCCTGTCCCCTCCTATCTCTTGAACTTCCCGTGCTGCAGAACCTCTGCCTGCTCTTTTGCAGTTACCTTTCATGCTTCAGAGGAAGAGTAATGGTGACTTTCACAGGAGCAGCCTCTGCAGAATCAGCTTCCCTGCAGAGAGACATTGGAACAACCTCCCATCTTCCAGATTTGTGCAAAATTCAGTTCTTTTAGGAGCTGGTGCTTGGCATGAAGGAAAATAGAGAGGAATTGCTGCTTGTGGTTCCAGTGGTGCGTGACTTCAGTAGTTGGGTTCTTTTTTCCCCTCTACATGTTGGTAGCCCACAAAAAGTCCATCTGTGGGGTGGATTTTACTCACAATATTTCAATATCCCATTTCTGTGAAGGTTTGTTTTCTATTGGCTGATTCATAATGATGTGATTCTTGTCATAATAATTTCCTCCTTAAAAACAAAAGGAAGTCATGAAGGAAAAGCTTTTGAAAGAAATACTCATAAAAACTATACACAATCTTTCAGAAGCATGACTAAGTAGGAAAATCAGCTGAAAAATAGGAATTCTATGAGGTAGGGGGCTGTTGTCTGTAACTGAGCAATGACAGTTTTAACCAGCCTTCTTTTTTAAACTCCTTTTCTCTTTTTGAGCTATTCTGTGGTTGGTTTTCCTTCATCACTTTGTCCTCTGTAACTTGCACTCCTTGCCATCTGCACTATCTAACTCCCCAAAGCACAACAGTTCAACTGATCAAAATAAACCTCTGGAGTCAAAAGAGAAAGGTTCTTCCCTGCCCTGCTGTTTCTTCTCCCACTGTCAAGCAACTGGACAGGAAAGGTAGGATTCAGTTCCTGACCTTAAGTACAAGGGGAAAAAAAAAAAAAAAGCTGGACTATGGAAGTTAACCTTAATCAAAAAACACACTTAAAACCTGTGAGCTTGAGAGTTTTTGTATTTAAATACCTTTAATATCAAGCACCAGTTGCTCACTGAGGTATGAACTGATGGTTCCATCCTCGTTGAGTCTCCACTTTTGCCTGTCCCTCCCATGTTCTGGCCAGAGGGCGACTTTGGCGCCAGGCACGTCTCTGCCTCCAATGACATCCAGACAGGTATTGTTGGCCTAAGAAACAGGGAGAGCAGTGAGATCCAGCCTACAGAGCCCCAGTTTTTGTGCCTAACTTGTCTCAGGCACTGAGCATATGGCAGTAAATCCTGATGTAGCTGGTAAAACCCTGGGAAGCAAGCGAGGAACAGACTGTTCAACATCCGACTAGCTGCTTGATCAAATGTGCTGGTCTAGGTTACTTCATTTTTTTAAATGTTAAACCATCAGCTTTTTAAAAAATACTAATAACAGAGCATCAAGGGTAGCACTAATAGAAAGCCACTCTGAAACTCACCTTGGACTTGAGGAGCCCCCGGCAGTAGTGCCAGAGCTGGGAGTCGCTGCGGCTGTGCGGGGCCGCGCACACCGAGGTCGCCCGGATGTCCGCCAGGCTCCCAGCCACGGTCAGGTACCTGCCCTGGGCCCTGTTCCTCAGCCTCAGGTACACTGCTGGCTGCAAGGGGGAGAGATTTACAACACAGAGATCAAGCCAATTGATGTGGGAGGGCCTCCCCTCCGCCATCCTCCCTTCCATCTATGCTCGATTTTTGTTCTCAGTGGAGGATGTTCAGTAATTTTTGGTTGGAAACCAACGTGAATGTGAAGCACACTGAGTGGTTTTTCACATGCAGATGGGTGGCTATAAATAGCAATGGCAGATAGGTCTTTTTACAAAGAATGTAATTATGGCTATAGAACTAATTCCTGTGATCTGCAAATATGCCTAGTTCAGCACATTCCAAGGGCAGTAATCCACAACCTTTTAATTCTTAAAACTTACTGAGTTACAAATCCAGCAACTTCAGCCCTCCCTAACTGGAATACATGGCAGAGAAATGCACCACTCTTTTTGAACATACATGGAAAAACAGGGCACTGACCTGGTATCCCTGTTTATTGGTTTACTCAGAAAATAAAGAGGATTTTGCAGGGCAACTGCAGGGTTTGAGCTTTTGCTCTGTTATTCACTGATTTCAGTGCAAATAAAGAGCAGGGAGTTATAAAGGGCAGCTCTGTTGGAAGCCCAGCTCCAGGACAGCTTTTTTTTCTGGGAGCTTTAAATCTCCTTTTTTTCCATATTAAAACAAACCCTGAGCTACAGACAATAAGGACTCTCTCCTACTAAGCATCCATAAACAAAACCTGTATCAGTACAGTGTTTAGTTACCCTTTGTGGTTTAGAGACCTGAACCTTTGAATAAGACTGAAGTTGGAATTACCTGGGGTGAGACAGAGAGGGAAGACCTGATGGGAACTCCATGAGCTTTCCCTCTTTTGGGAATCCAGGCTACAGCACAATAAAATTCGCTCTTGCTTCCATTTATGTTAATTATGAAACAAGTCAGTGTGGAATTGATTTCCTCATTATACTGTTATATGGCAAAAATGTAAAAATAGAGCATCCACAGAACATGCTAATGAGCAATTCTGAAAAACAAAACTTGGCACCAAGAAACTGGGAATTATTTCCATTTAGGAACCTTACACAGATCTCAATAACTGCTACAAGAGGCATTTTCTGCTTCAGCAATCTTCCAGTGGGTCCTTCTGGCTGTCATCATTAGGCCTGATTTAAGGAGTACAACACACCTCAATGTGCTTGGTGGTAGAACTGATACCTGTGCACAAACCCCTGTCCATAAAAACCCATTTTCCTCACTCAGTCCTACAGTACCTGCTTCACAGGACGAAGGGAGCCAATCACTTTCCAGCCACTGTGTTCACTCCAGTTTGAAATCCCCCTGGGCTCCAGCAGAATCTGC